ACATACATACATACATACAGACACACAGACACACAAACATACACACACACATATTGCATGTTTACTCTTCAAAGGCCTAAAATATTGTCATTTTCACAGATTCAATGTCTGCCCTTCAAGCTCTGGAGGGCAGTGAACGCTGCAGAACTGACATAGCCAAGATAATCCTGGATGCTGATCAGCTTATTACCTCATACAACATCAGAATAGTTATGCAGTGGATTCCAGGCCACTCCAGCACACAAGGTAATGACAGAGTTGACAGATTGGCAAAGAAAGGAGCAACACAAGAACAACCACCTACAGCGACAACCCTACAGACAGCAAAAACACTTATAAGAGCTATAAACAAAGAGACTTGGTTAAACAGATGGGCCATGGAAGACACTAGAAGAGAGGTTTATAGACACATGGCTGGTCCTGATCCTAATGACAGCATTGACCATCTAACAAGCAGGGACCAGGCCACCATCTTTAGTCTTAGAACGCAACATACTCCACTCAATGGACATTTAAACAGAATACAGCCACAACACTCCCCAGAGTGCCAGCTTTGTAACTACCCCTACGAAACTGTTGAACACCATCTCTTTGAGTGCCCAAAACTCAGTGAGACAAGAAGAACGCTACTCCCTCCGAGACCAGACAAGTGGAACACCTTGTACGGAGGAAAAGAACAGCTTGTGAAAACATGCAAATTCCACTACCTGGCATTGGGCCAAAGGGCGAAAGCTCATGCGCCGCTGGATCGATAACAACAACAATAACAACAGACAGACAGACAGACTCATACACACAGTCTCAGAAACCCTTTCAAAATCCCACACTCTAAGACACACATGCAAACAACCCAGACACACACAGGGACATACGCAACACTCACACAGACACACACGCAGACACACATACGCACACAGACACACACACACGCAGACACACATACGCACACAGACACACACACAAACCGACACAAATAGAGACACACGCACAAGCAGACATTATCAAATAGACATATCCACAGAGACACACACAGATACACACGAAGACACACACATATACACACAGAGACACACACAGTTACACACGAAGCCACACACAGATACACACAAAGCCACACATAGAGACACACACACAGGCACAGATACACACGAAGCCACACACACAGACACACCAACAGACACATACATGACACACACACACACACGCAGACACACAGACAGAGACACACACACATACAAACACACCTACAGGCGTACAAACACACACAAACATATAGACACACATATAGAGATACTCACAACACTCACACAAACACATACACTGTCACAGATACACACACACACACACACACACACATAGAGACACGTGCACACGTAAACATTATCAAAGACACGCAGATACACATGAAGCCACACACACAAAGACACACACACAGGCGAAAACACACATGCATAGACACACAGACACACAGCCCGACATTCCTACAGACACATACATAGACACACTCACAGTCAGACACATACGGACACATACACAAAGATAAACACACAACCATAGACACACATATATACATACAAACACAAACATCTTCACAAAAAACACACGCAGCCACACATACAGATACACATACAAACACAGACACGCACCCACAGACACACACACACACGCACACTGACACGCACACATACACACACACATACGCACAAGCATGCATACACACACACATATACACATAAAAACACGCATATAGACACACACACACAGACATACCAACACAGAAACACAAACAGAGACACGCACACACACCCACAGACACGCACGCGGACACCATACAGACTCATACACACACAAACTCACAAAACACGCCCACACACAGAGACATACACACACACACACACAAAGACATACAGAGAGACAGAGACAGAGAGAGAGAGAGAAAGAGAGAGAGAGACAGAGACAGAGAGAGAGAGACAGAGAAAGAGAGAGAGAGAGAAAAAAGAGAGAGAGAGAGAGAGAGAGAGGGAGAGCATCAGTGCTCACAAGTCGTGGCTATGTATGCACACAGGGATAGAACCGACACCACAGCACTCGGGGCATTACCATAAGCGCTCCGTCCCCATCTTCAGCAGCCAGCAAAGAGTTCGGATACTAATGGTGTCAATAGCATTCTGATTAAATGTCCGTTTTGCCTTTCCTCTGAGCCTCAAGTATCTGCCAGAACCTCTCGTCACTTCCCTCTGCATCAATGTTACCAGACTGTGGTGATCTTTCTGCTCCTCTGTGCAGAGTCAGCCAGTCTGTCCGCCTATTCATTTCCCAACACACCGGCTTGCCACGGTGAAAAAATCCAGACAATACTCCTCACTCGTGTCCTCCGCAGCGTGGCATGCGACTCTGCACGAAGCATGCCTGTCCTGACCTTCCTCAGCATGCTAAGTCAGTTACAATCCCGATGTGTGTGTGTGTGTGTGTGTGTGTGTGTGTGTGTGTGTGTGTTTGTCGCGGAAAGCTTCAATGACCGCCTCCACCTCCACTGTATGTTGTGGTATCATATGCTAGGCTCTCCTGCACCAAACGTCGACCATTAACATTTGCTAAGAAGCCCCAAGCACTTCTTTTGCCTCTTGACACTGAACCGTATGTGTAAATGATCTAATCTTCTGAGCGAGCATTATCTTGAATTAATTGCTGAATTTCCACCTCTGTGGCACCTGCTGGCCAGTCTCTGCATTCCCGGCTCAGTGTAGTTATGATCCTACACAAGTCTGACTGTTCAGGTGGCACCTTGACCCACTCCTCTCCTCGCCTAATGTTCTCAAGGATGCAAACCTGTCTGATTGTGTCTTCTGCCTAAGCCATCCATGACTTCCCTCTAATCAGCCGCTGACCCTTAACTGCACCCAGAGCTTTATGCAAAGGGTGGTCTGTGTCTGCAGCTACACTAAGATATGACTTCACCTGCAGCACCTTGTGCCTACCTGCAACCGGGCAAACCAAGGATGTATCACATACACACCACTGGGGTGTCTCTGGCGCAACCCAGAATGACCCGCATAGCCACGTTTTGTATGCGCTCTAGTTTACGGTAAGATGTTAATTAAATGACTAAACTCCAGGGGTGGAAGAGGTGTCAATTGTTAACTCCAGGGGTGGAAAAGGTGTCAATTGTTAACTCCAGAGGTGGAAGAGGTGTCAATTGTTAACTCCAGGGTTGGAAGAGGTGTCAATTGTTAACTCCAGGGGTGGAAGAGGTGTCAATTGTTAACTCTAGGGGTGGAAGAGGTGTCAATTGTTAACTCCAGGGGTAGAAGAGGTGTCAATTGTTAACTCCGGGGGTGGAAGAGGTGTCAATTGTTAACTCCAGGGGTGGAAGAGGTGTCAATTGTTAACTCCGGGGGTGGAAGAGGTGTCAATTGTTAACTCCAGGGGTGGAAGAGGTGTCAATTGTTAACTCCAGGGGTGGAAGAGGTGTCAATTGTTAACTCCAGGGGTGGAAGAGGTGTCAATTGTTAACTCCAGGGGTGGAAGAGGTGTCAATTGTTAACTCCAGGGGTGGAAGAGGTGTCAATTGTTAACAAACAAAAGAAATGACTCAACTCAACGATTGTTTCATTCAATTAAAAAAGGGTTTAATTTTTCAGTAACATCATGAAAATCAAATCAACTAATAATTGAAAAAGTGACAAACAAATGAACATGTGCTGATTGATGCTCATATAAAGAAGTAGAGACAGCAGAGTAGACTAAACATATCATTTAGGGAAAACTAGAGCACATATGAAGTGTCATGGACACACTCCAGGATAGACACTGTCATGAGAATCATCTGTACGCATGCTAGGTCTGGAGTCATGGACACAGTGTCAAGTACACATCCAATAGAATTATCTGTACACATGCTAGGTCTGGAGTCATGGACACACTGTCAAGTACACATCCAAGAGAATTATCTGTACACATGCTAGGTCTGGAGTCGTGGGCACACTGTCAAGTACACATCCGTGATAATTATTTGTACACATGCTAGGTCTGGAGTCATGGACACACTGTCAAGTACACATCCAAGAGAATTATCTGTACACATGCTAGGTCTGGAGTCATGGACACACTGTCAAGTACACATCCAAGAGAATTATCTGTACACATGCTAGGTCTGGAGTCATGGACACACTGTCAAGTACACATCCAAGAGAATTATCTGTACACATGCTAGGTCTGGAGTCATGGACACACTGTCAAGTACACATCCAAGAGAATTATCTGTACACATGCTAGGTCTGGAGTCATGGACACACTGTCAAGTACACATCCAAGAGAATCATCTGTACACATGCTAGGTCTGGAGTCATGGACACACTGTCAAGTACACATCCAAGAGAATTATTTGTACACATGCTAGGTCTGGAGTCATGGACACACTGTCAAGTACACATCCAAGAGAATCATCTGTACACATGCTAGGTCTGGAGTCATGGACACACTGTCAAGTACACATCCAAGAGAATTATTTGTACACATGCTAGGTCTGGAGTCATGGACACACTGTCAAGTACACATCCGTGAGAATTATCTGTACACATGCTAGGTCTGGAGTCATGGACACACTGTCAAGTACACATGCTAGGTCTGGAGTCATGGACACACTGTCAAGTACACATGCTAGGTCTGGAGTCATGGACACACTGTCAAGTACACATCCAAGAGAATTATCTGTACACATGCTAGGTCTGGAGTCATAGACACAGTGTCAAGTACACATCCAAGAGAATTATCTGTACACATGCTAGGTCTGGAGTCATGGACACACTGTCAAGTGCACATGCTAGGTTTGGAGTCATGGACACACTGTCAAGTACACATGCTAGGTCTGGAGTCATGGACACACTGTCAAGTACACATGCTAGGTCTGGAGTCATAGACACACTGTCAAGTACACATGCTAGGTCTGGAGTCATGGACACAGTGTCAAGTACAAAGATATATGACAATGATGTGCACAGATGTTTCCCTTGAAGATCAGTCAGATTGTTCCTACTGGTCAGATTGTTGGCACAGGTCAGATTGTTGGTACAGGTCAGATTGTTGGTACAGGTCAGATTGTTGGTACAGGTCAGGTTGTTGGTACTAGTAAGATTGTTGGTACTGGTCACATTGTTGGTGCTGGTCAGGTTGTTGGCACTGGTCAGACTGTTGGTACTGGTCAGATTGTTGGTACTGGTCACATTGTTGGTACTTGTCAGACCGTTGGTACTGGTCAGACTGTTGGTACTGGTCAGACTGTTGGTACTGGTCAGATTGTTGGTATTGGTCAGACCCAAAGGCACACACCACAACTGTTGCTGGAAGCACTATGTTGCAGGGAACACAGATGATACCCACAGAGAAAAATAAATGACAAATACACAACCACAGGTGGCCAAACACACACAACCACAGGTGGCCAAACACACACAACCACAGGTGGCCAAACACACACAACCACAGGTGGCCAAACACACACAACCACAGGTGGCCAAACACACACAACCACAGGTGGCCAAACACACACAACCACAGGTGGCCAAACACACATACTCTGCAGTCAATGAGTCAGATGTTTAGTATGGACTGTCTAAGTGTAATATACATAAACACACATGACACATTGGGTAAGAAAGGTGAAGAAATGACAATCATACATGACACATTGGGTAAGAAAGGTGAAGAAATGACAATCATACATGACACATTGGGTAAGATAGGTGAGGAAATGACAATCACACATGACACATAGGGTAAGATAGGTGAGGAAATGACAATCATACATGACACATTGGGTAAGATAGGTGAAGAAATAACAATCATTCATGACACACTGGGTAAGATAGGTGAAGAAATGACAATCATACATGACACACTGGGTAAGATAGGTGAAGAAATAACAATCATTCATGACACACTGGGTAAGATAGGTGAAGAAATAACAATCATTCATGACACACTGGGTAAGATAGGTGAAGAAATAACAATCATTCATGACACACTGGGTAAGATAGGTGAAGAAATGACAATCATACATGACACACTGGGTAAGATAGGTGAAGAAATGACAATCATACATGACACACTGGGTAAGATAGGTGAGGAAATGACAATCATTCATGACACATTGGGTAAGATAGGTGAAGAAATAACAATCATTCATGACACACTGGGTAAGATAGGTGAAGAAATGACAATCATACATGACACACTGGGTAAGATAGGTGAAGAAATAACAATCATTCATGACACACTGGGTAAGATAGGTGAAGAAATAACAATCATTCATGACACACTGGGTAAGATAGGTGAAGAAATGACAATCATACATGACACACTGGGTAAGATAGGTGAAGAAATAACAATCATTCATGACACACTGGGTAAGATAGGTGAAGAAATGACAATCACACATGACACACTGGGTAAGATAGGTGAAGAAATGTAAATCACACATGACAATCACACCTGACACATTAGGTAAGATAGGTGAAGAAATGGCAATCACACATGACACACTGGGTAAGATAGGTGAAGAAATGTAAATCACGCCTGACACGTTGGGTAAGATAGGAGAAGAAATGACAATCACACATGACACACTGGGTAAGATAGGTGAAGAAATGACAATCACACATGACACACTGGGTAAGATAGGTGAAGAAATAACAATCATTCATGACACACTGGGTAAGATAGGTGAAGAAATGACAATCACACATGACACACTGGGTAAGATAGGTGAAGAAATAACAATCATTCATGACACACTGGGTAAGATAGGTGAAGAAATGACAATCATACATGACACACTGGGTAAGATAGGTGAAGAAATAACAATCATTCATGACACACTGGGTAAGATAGGTGAAGAAATAACAATCATTCATGACACACTGGGTAAGATAGGTGAAGAAATGACAATCACACATGACACACTGGGTAAGATAGGTGAAGAAATGTAAATCACACATGACAATCACACCTGACACATTAGGTAAGATAGGTGAAGAAATGGCAATCACACATGACACACTGGGTAAGATAGGTGAAGAAATGTAAATCACGCCTGACACGTTGGGTAAGATAGGAGAAGAAATGACAATCACACATGACACACTGGGTAAGATAGGAGAAGAAATGACAATCACACATGACACACTGGGTAAGATAGGAGAAGAAATGACAATCACACATGACACACTGGGTAAGATAGGTGAAGAAATGACAATCACACATGACACACTGGGTAAGATAAATGAATAAATGACAATCACATCTGACTTATGTACAACAATGAATGCTTCTGTCTCATCATATATTGACAATGGTAGGCAGTCACACATGAAAACATCAGGTCTGTTCAGTGATACAATTCAGACTATCATACAGACACAATAGGCGGTCACACATGAAAACATCAGGTCTGTTCAGTGATACAATTCAGACTATCATACAGACACAACAGGGTAGCATTCAGTAGAACACAACACAGTGGCTAGTTTGTACAAACAGTTATAGGGGTAGAACTGTACAGAATGTCAACAAAAAAAGTATGATGAGACTGTAACATAACTAGCTGTTTTCTACTTGTGATAGAACCGGCTGTTTTCTATTCATGACATAACTGGCTGTTTATCTATTCATGACATAACTGGCTGTTTTCTATTCATGACATAACTGGCTGTTTTCTATTCATGACATAACTGGCTGTTTATCTATTCATGACATAACTGGCTGTTTTCTATTCATGACATAACTGGCTGTTTATCTATTCATGACATAACTGGCTGTTTTCTATTCATGACATAACTGGCTGTTTTCTATTCATGACATAACTGGCTGTTTATCTATTCATGACATAACTGGCTGTTTTCTATTCATGACATAACTGGCTGTTTTCTATTCATGACATAACTGGCTGTTTATCTATTCATGACATAACTGGCTGTTTATCTATTCATGACATAACTGGCTGTTTATCTATTCATGACATAACTGGCTGTTTTCTATTCATGACATAACTAGCTGTTTTCTATTCATGACTTAACTGGCTGTTTTCTATTCATGACTTAACTGGCCGTTTTATATTTATGACTTAACTGGCTGTTTTCTATTTATGACATAACTGGCTGTTTTCTATTTATTACTTAACTGGCTGTTTTCTATTCATGACTTAACTGACTGTTTTCTATTTATGACTTAACTGGCTGTTTTCTATTTATGACATAACCGGCTTTTTTCTTTTTATGACATAACTGGCTGTTTTTCTATTCGTGAAATAACTGGCTGTTTTTCTATTTATGACATAACTGGCTGTCTTTCTGTTTGTGACAAAACTGGCTGTTTTTCTATTCATGAAACATCTGGCTGTTTTCTATTTATGACATAACTGGCTGATGCGAGGAACATGGTGCAAGACACATAGTTAAGCACATGACAGATATCATTGTCTGTACAAGAGCAGCTATTTGACTTCCAAGAAAATGTTATCAGTGTTAATCTGCTTAATCCGGTTGGGACCAAATGTCCACTAATTTTCACTTTTCTAACTTGTCTATAGTGACCTGTGTAATTATTGCATTCATGTCAGTACAAATGTTTATAAGGTCAGGATATGAATATGTTAACTAACAATAACATTCATGGGAGTTTGGGAGGACTGGGTTGGGGGGACGGGGTTGGGGGGAACGGGGTTGGGGGGATGGAGGAATTGTCTGAATCCTTAAAATCACTTTGTTAAAAAGCAAGCAAAGGTCAAATTGTCCTGTAAGCCGCGGTGAGAAAGGTCTCGAGGTCATGGCAAAGTTTACCCACAAATATATTTTGTACGCCTCAGGAAATGTATTCCATTTCATGTTTCACTCTGTTCATGTTTATTCACTGCTCCCTTTATGTTTCAATCACATAACAAATGTACATAAATATGTTTAAAGCATTTTCTTTTGCACAAAATCTGAAGGATTCATGGCTCATTTGTTTTAGTGTTTTCTTCTCAGATCCCCTTCCCCCCCCCTTCCCCCCAAAAGGTAAATGTGGTCTACTGAGAGATATTGTTTCGGGAGTCTGATGTGTTATGCATTCACATAAATATTGCATTTATAACATTTACTGTCAACAATGATAGGTGGGCATGGATTGCTAGTACATATTTTGATTTGACTTGTAACACTGTATTCTAATAATTATTTCAACATGACTAGCAAGCACTACCAACACACAAAACATACCTCAAAGAAAAATGACAATATCACATGCTGGTCAACTTATGATTTCAAGGAGAGTTGTGCACACAAAAACTGTGTTAATATGCCTAAGGAGTCTCCTAACAGTTTCAGCAGTCAAAAACACTACATTCACACAATCTATACAGCTGTACAGATTCTATAAGTTAAAGAGTTGTACAAGTAGCAGTTAGTCTTCCCCAGCACCAGTGGACTCTTCCAGAATATCTTGGTGTTTCTGGGAGCGTAGTTCTCTGCCCTCTGACTTGGAAGCGATGGACTGCTTGACTGTCATGGATGAATCATCGTCAGATATTGTGATCTGAATCAGACCATGAGCAAAGGCGAACCCTGTCATGGCTGCCACCACAAACAAAACAGCCAGAAAAATGTTTCTGCGTCTGTGTGGGAACTCCGCAAGGTCACTTTTGGTGCCATCTTTCTTCTTTGCCTCGTCATTTTGTTTTTTACTCTCATTTGATTCTGGACAAATAAAAAACAAATTTAGGCTTTTACAAATTGAAACACATAAAACACATTATTGTAAATAGTGATGAGAACGTGTATAAACTGTCACATGAACTTGAGTAAACTGTCACATGAACTTGTGTAAACTGTCACGTGAACTTGTGTAAACTGTCACATGAACTTGTGTAAACTGTCACATGAACTTGTGTAAACTGTCACATGAACTTGAGTAAACTGTCATATGAACTTGAGTAAACTGTCACATGAACTTGTGTAAACTGTCACATGAACTTGAGTAAACTGTCACATGAACTTGTGTAAACTGCCACATGAACTTGAGTAAACTGTCACATGAACTTGTGTAAACTGCCACATGAACTTGTGTATACTGTCACATGAACTTGTGTAAACTGTCACATGAACTTGTGTAAACTGTCACATGAACTTGAGTAAACTGTCACATGAACTTGTGTAAACTGTCACATGAACTTGTGTAAACTGTCACATGAACTTGTGTATACTGTCACATGAACTTGTGTAAACTGCCACATGGACTTGTGTAAACTGTGATGTTACTGTAGAAATCTGGATGTTATATTTATGAGGCACTAACTACATATAAAAAGACTAGCTACCCTTATACCAGATTTCTTGCATATAAACCTTTAACTAGCTCTCAGACTTCTTTTACCATTCGGACAAACAAATTCACTAGATCTTTCCTAAAATGTTTCTTTCAATCTGAGTCATACTTAGACAGCACTTGAAGTCACCAACTGAAAAAAAAAAAGGAGTCACTCACAGAAATGAATGGAGGTGGGTAGTAACTGCAGCAGTGAACCTCAAGCACCTAAACTGCTGAAGTAGCAGCAGATCCATAGGCCGGCAAAGAAGATGGTGAGACAGAGGCAGACATCAGCGAATACTAGCGGCCCCATTTCAGTGATCATATTGAGCTATACACACAGCATTATATACAGATGGTAGTCCACATGATGTGGTAGTGGTTTTATGATTTAATGTTTTGTGTGATGTGTCAGTGTGTGTGTGTGTGTGTCTGTGTGTGTGATGTCAATGTGTGTGTGAGTAGTGGGTTTATGTGATGTCAGTGTGTGTGAGTTGTGGGTTTATGTGATGTCAGTGTGAGTTGTGGGTTTATGTGATGTCAATGTGTGTGTGTGTGTGTGTGTGTGTGTGTGAGTTGTGGGTTTATGTGATATAAATATGTGATGCACAAGAACATATAAAGGTCAGTTGTGTGTGTACACATGTGATGCACAAGAACATATGAAGGTCAGGTGTGTTTGTACACATGTGATGCACAACAACATATAAAGGTCAGGTATGTTTGTACACATGTGATGCACAAGAACAAATGAAGGTCAGGTGTGTTTGTACACATGTGATGCACATGAACATATGAATGTCAGGTATGTTTGTACACATGTGATGCACAAGAACATATGAAGGTCAGGTATGTTTGTACACATGTGATGCACAACAACATATGAAGGTCAGGTATGTTTGTACACATGTGATGCACAACAACATATGAAGGTCAGGTATGTTTGTACACATGTGATGCACAACAACAAATGAAGGTCAGTTGTGTCTGTACACATGCTTTGCACAAGAACATATGAAGGTCAGGTATGTCTGTACACATATGATGCACAACAACATATGAAGGTCAGGTATGTTTGTACACATGTGATGCACAACATATGAAGGTCAGGTGTGTTTGTACACATGTGATGCACAACAACATATGAAGGTCAGGTATGTTTGTACACATGTGATGCACAACAACATATGAAGGTCAGGTATGTTTGTACACATGTGATGCACAACAACATATAAAGGTCAGGTATGTTTGTACACATGTGATGCACAACAACATATGAAGGTCAGGTATGTTTGTACACATGTGATGCACAAGAACATATAAAGGTCAGGTATGTTTGTACACATGTGATGCACAACAACATATAAAGGTCAGGTATGTTTGTACACATGTGATGCACAACAACATATGAAGGTCAGTTATGTCTGTACACATGTGATGCACAACAACATATGAAGGTCAGGTATGTTTGTACACATGTGATGCACAACAACATATAAAGGTCAATTGTGTGTGTACACATGTGATGCACAAGAACATATGAAGGTCAGGTATATTTGTACACATGTGATGCACAAGAACATATGAAGGTCAGGTGTGTTTGTACACATGTGATGCACAACAACATATAAAGGTCAGGTATGTTTGTACACATGTGATGCACAACAACATATGAAGGTCAGTTATGTCTGTACCCATGTGATGCACAAGAACATATGAAGGTCAGGTATGTCTGTACACATATGATGCACAACAACATATGAAGGTAAGGTATGTTTGTACACATGTGATGCACAACATATGAAGGTCAGGTGTGTTTGTACACATGTGATGCACAACAACAATATAGGTCAGGTATGTTTGTACACATGTGATGCACAAGAACATATGAAGGTCAGGTGTGTTTGTACACATGTGATGCACAACATTTGAAGGTCAGGTATGTTTGTACACATGTGATGCACAAGAACATATGAAGGTCAGGTATGTTTGTACACATGTGATGCACAACAACATATAAAGGTCAGGTATGTTTGTACACGTGTGATGCACAAGAACATATGAAGGTCAGGTGTGTTTGTACACATGTGATGCACATGAACATATGAAGGTCAGGTATGTTTGTACACATGTGATGCACAAGAACATATAAAGGTCAGTTGTGTGTGTACACATGTGATGCACAACAACATATAAAGGTCAGGTATGTTTGTACACATGTGATGCACAAGAACATATGAAGGTCAGGTATGTTTGTACACATGTGATGCACAACAACATATGAAGGTCAGGTATGTTTGTACACATGTGATGCACAAGAACATATGAAGGTCAGGTGTGTTTGTACACATGTGATGCTCAATAACATATGAAGCTGAGGCATGTTTGTACACATGTGATGCTCAACAACACATGAAACTCAGGTATGTTTGTACACATGGGTTTTCAGCTTTATGAACAAATACTCATTTCTCATCAAGTGCAGTTTGTTAACAGACAAAATCATCAATATCCACTTTTGCAGTTAAGCATCATGGGGAGGAACAGTTTGCAATCCATTGCTTGATAGAACTGTTGTTCACATTTTCAGTGGTTTCTGATCTTGACAGCACACCTTAATTCTTGAGCTATAGCAGCTGAACAAATGAATTCCCTACTGGTTTGCTGGATCGGCTGTTTGAACATCTTTACTGAATACACCGGTATTAAATTACACACAATAGAACATTTTAAAATCCACAGAAATTGGTGAACTATGACAATGCACAGGTGAAAAGTGACAAGAGATCACAACTGTGGGAACTGAATCAGTTCTCCAATAGTACTCACCTCGAACCTCAGCAGGGAAGAAAACTGTCAGAATGTCATTGCACAACCTGCACAGGTTCTCACACTGTAAGAGATGGGTCTGCAGCTGATTGCTTGGCAGAGGTGCCTTCAGCAGTGGGGTCAGATAGCCAAAGATCAGGGCATCCAGAGACGAGGGCCTATACAGACAAGATCATGTTTAATAGTTAGGCTAACATTTAGCTTTCTCAAGCACACTGTCTGATAATTAAATATCTGTTTATGAGATAATCATCTTCTTTTTCTTTCTGTTGTCGTCCTACTGATACCAGGTTGTAGCTGTGTCCTGATTTTCTGTATTTGCCTTGCCCTTTTCAGGTGGCCTTGGTGGTGGATTTGTTCGTCTTTTTTGCAGGTTTCAGCTAAACCATGACAAATGTAATGGTTTTGGAATTATTACGTTACAAAATACATTTGGTTGAATTCTTGAAAAGAGTGTGGCAGGCCAATTACAAGATTACCTTAAAAAACCGAGACCCTTACAGAGAGAGTTAGGAAGTTACCGTCCAAGAAAGGAAAGGTTGGGAAAATGCAGCGATCCTGGCTTCAGATGTAAGAGGGGTTTCGACATAAATGTGAAACAGTGGTGGCGGCATTGGATTTAGAATATGCATATAACAGGGTTAGATATGAAGTTTTACTGTACACATTTATGGATATGGATGCCAGTCCCTGGATCGCCAGTTGGATTGCAGCAGTCCTGTATGAACAGCAGACTGCCTTTCTCTTAGGTTCGTGGAGCTCTGAACCATGTAGTATCGCACCTGGCCTCCCACAGGGTTCCACCATCTCCCCAGTGCTTTTGAATGTATACATAAGGAGGATAGTGGCAACAGAGACATTAGGAATAGGGAGAATCTGAACTTTTGCTGACGATGTCTTAGTCTACACACAGGGGAGAAACAGAAGTGAAATATCTAGAGAACTAGTTTGTGGTAGATCAGGAAGGGAAGTGGTGTCAGGAAACATAGGCTTGGTCATGAATCCAGATAAGGCAGCAGTACTGTGGTGTTTTTAACATAACAGAATTATTAACCATATGTTTCCGGACATCACAATAAATGGTAGTAATATAAAGAGAGATAATTCACTAAATATCTAGGAATTACGTTTGACAGGAGTCTATCCTTCAAATACCATGTGGAAGTGGTCGTTTTAAAAACAGGGAAAGGACTCAATTCTTTCAAGGTGATGGCATCAGTTGACATGCAACAGAAAATGCTCTATATAATCTACCAATAACTGATGCAGTATGGTTTGGGACTGCTAACATTATCTCATACCAAAATTAAGAATCAATCTCATATGCGGTTTAGTCCGGCTGCATTCTCACTGGTTGGCCAAGCCAATTTCATTCTTTGTCTGTCAATATAATGCAGACATGATCTGATTGCAACCTTTTCTCTAATGCTGGTTTTCATAACGCTGTCCCTTCCTGTTCAGTTAGTGACCTCAAGGAGACAGCGCATTTCACAGGTAGTTATTTTCTGTACTAGTACCTTATTCATTGTTCACTGGAGATAAACACTGATTTCTATCACCTTGTCTATTCAATTCACCTGTCTCAAAAGCATGTTCTATGTGAGTAAAACAGCATTTAAAGTTCACTCTTTGCTCCACAGTGGCACGGCAAAAAATTCCAGTACCGGCCTCACTAAATCTGATGCCCTAATTGATGATTAAATTAAGGTCTGAGGAGGTCTACATAAAGAGATCCGGATTCTGTACTTTCTGAAGAGCCTTGCACAATAAGACAATATACCAAGGCAGAATTATGTAATAGGCAAGATTTTTAAACCACCGTGATATTGTCAAAAACTTCCTTATCTGCCTTTAACTTCCAGACAAAATGTTGGCCCTGAGCCGATCCATGCCAAGCCATTTGCAGACCTGCTTGCGACTGGTTAGACTGTCTAGCTTATTGCTGTTGCCATCCCATCGATGCAGACGACAGTGTAATGCTGTACTATGGGAGAGACTTGGCACTAGCAGTCCATGACGATGGTGAGTATGACTTGCCACATCAGCCTGGATTCAGAAAAAGCTGTCCACAATTACAGCGTGGGATTTCAGCATCCTTGCTGCCATCGGTGTGCTTCTTCTCAGATGTTTCACTCTCAATCTTCCTGCAGTTAATTTGTTTCGTTTACTCCCATTCGCTTCCTGATTTTGCCCTCCATGCGACATGGCCCACGACATTTTGTTTTCATGAATCTAACTCAATTTCTGTATCTTTCATGTCCTATTTGAACATCTTTATTTCATAGTAGAGACCGGATTTTCTAGCTAAACTTCTCTTAGGGATAAAGTATCCAGTCCCATGGCAATCGGCCTGTTTCACCTCCTGGGACATGCATGCACCAAGATTTAGTGAGGCCAGAACCAAAGAAAGTTGTTTATTCTTGCACACACAAATCAACACTTCTAAGATCAGCAGTCTGACGGTAACCTGACAGGCACTCACAAATGTGCCTGCAATGTTATCCAGCAAGTGACCACTAGCTGACCAGGAAACAATCAGACAGACACATGCCATGAATTTGCACAAACTCTCCTTTAGTTTCATGAGAGCTCAGTGCTGAATAAATCTTCACAATTTTACTTTCTGCACAATCAATTTGATTTCTTGTCCGAAAACTGTGATGCTGTCAGCGAAGAGTATGGACAATTATTTAGTCAGGTCATCGCTACTCAATTCAGATGGATGGAAAAATAAACTGCCAGCCCTATGTGATAAATAATGGCCCCACAGGATGAGATGATGATGATGACCACTTCTGATAAAAGAAACTAGGGGAAAGCTGAATTCAGTAATTCCAGCAGGATAATGGAAAAGTGAATTCAGCAATTTCTAGCAGGATACTGGAAAACTGAATTCAGCATTTCTAGCAGGATACTGGAAAACTAATTCAGCAATTCTAGCAGGATACTGGAAAACTAATTCAGCAATTCTAGCAGGATACTGGAAAACTAATTCAGCAATTCTAGCAGGATACTGCTGGACCCTTGTGAGAGATGCCCCAGAATATGTCAGGATGACTATGACAGATTTCTGCTATCAACAGTATCATCAAGTTGTATTACATGCAAATGTGTGACACTGATTTCAGACATTTAAAAACTAGAGAGGTGGTATTAGCCATTTATTATTCAAATAACTTTTAGAAAATGTGGTTTCATCTCAGATACACACATAAGGTTTTACTCTTTGAGTCCCAAGGAACGCATCATACGTTCATAGGTTCCTACCTAGAAGCCCAATGAACGCATGATGCGCCGATTTTATTGCTTTCTTTACTACCCCTGGGCCTGTGATGCTAAATCCCCTGGGACTCAAAGAGTTGATTCTGTGTACATCTGTAATACAATGTGCTCTTAACTACTGTCCATCTCTTCCACACACTGATAGAGGACAAGACAGTTGCCAGGTACTTACAGTCTGCCAAACATGTACGGTTTGTCTCCCAGTTTGTAAGAGAGCAGGTTCAGACATTCCTTGGCTTCTTTGTACACCTGCAATCACAAATCATACATTTTATTCACCTGCCCACAACAATGTTTGCAACATACCTAATGTCAGGGTCCTGTGTGGCTATGAAATGAGAGCGTTTGATGATGGTGAATAGTTGAATAAGTACTGACTTGACCTCGTGTTCAATGACGCATGAAGACCTCCACTAGGGTTATCGTGGCAGGTGGAGTCATCACTTCCCACTCCAGGAAGTTCTCAGGGACCAGGCAGTGAATTGGGACTGAACAAAAAGGGGAGACAAACAAGGTTTGAGGTTTGTGCCTGGAGCTGGCCGACAGACTGGATAAGACTTGTTGGCGTGTCTGACATAAATTAGCGACGAATGTTTTGTGACAGAGCGTTCAGCTTGAGGGTAAGATAATTTAAGTGTTAGTCGGTGTTAGTGAAAGACAGGCTATTGTGTTTATTTTCACTGGATTCATTGATACATTTAGTCATGTGTTAGCAAGGTGGTTCCCAAAGGGTTTGTGTGGTTTTATGATATGGTCTGTCCACTCATGTTTGCCAGAGCCATGTGGTAACACAGCAGTCCCAGCATAAGGTGCACAAGCATAGACAAGAACTTGGATTGGATGCTGTTGGTTGCTGTTGAAACATCTGGATGGCCAGTGTGTGAGTGGTGATTGTAAAGCCCTCACGGCCGACTGGGCTAGGGTTGAGAGCCAGCTCTGGGGTAAACAATTGACTGCTGGTTAGGGTAGGGCTGACAGCCAGCTTTGGGGTAAACAATTGACTGCTGGTTGAGCTAGGGTTGAGAGCCAGCTCTGGGGTAAACAATTGACTGCTGGTTGGGGTAGGGCTGACAGCCAGCTTTGGGGTAAACAATTGACTGCTGGTTGAGCTAGGGTTGAGAGCCAGCTCTGGGGTAAACAATTGACTGCTGGTTGGGGTAGGGCTGACAGCCAGCTTTGGGGTAAACAATTGACTGCTGGTTGAGCTAGGGTTGAGAGCCAGCTCTGGGGTAAACAATTGACTGCTGGTTGGGGTAGGGCTGACAGCCAGCTCTGGGGTAAACAATTGACTGCTGGTTGGGGTAGGGTTGAGAGCCAGCTCTGGGGTAAACAATTGACTGCTGGTTGCAAAGAATATTAAAGGCTATGTGTATGCTCTGACCGTGTTGGTTTAGTTGTGTTTTAGGATAATTGGTTTAGTTGTGTTTTAGGATAATTGGTTTAGTTGTGTTTTAGGATAATTGGTTTAGTTGTGTTTTAGGATAATTGGTTTAGTTGTGTTTTAGGATAATTGGTTTAGTTGTGTTTTAGGATAATTGGTTTAGTTGTGTTTTAGGATAATTGGTTTAGTTGTGTTTTAGGATAATTGGTTTAGTTGTGTTTTAGGATAATTGGTTTAGTTGTGTTTTAGGATAATTGGTTTAGTTGTGTTTTAGGATAATTGGTTTAGTTGTGTTTTAGGATAATTGGTTTAGTTGTGTTTTAGGATAATTGGTTTAGTTGTGTTTTAGGATAATTGGTTTAGTTGTGTTTTAGGATAATTGGTTTAGTTGTGTTTTAGGATAATTGGTTTAGTTGTGTTTTAGGATAATTGGTTTAGTTGTGTTTTAGGATAGCCATTTCTGTCACGAGCCTGCACACGAGACAATTGCTGCAACGGCAGTAAGCAGGTTTCTGACACCTAAATTATGAAAAAGTGACTGGCAAAACAGTTTAGAATTCTGGGCTCTCATGGCCAAGAATCAAGTTCGAATCCTTAGTAAGGATTGGTACCGAGCACTAGCCATGTGGCCCTATATCCTCAGGCCTGCATGACAAAAGTTGCGCATGCACACAGTAATTAAAATTTGTTTTAACAAATTATAAATTCAGTAACTAATCAGTACAGACAGAGCAATTGACAGGAAAACCCAGTTACTTAAATCAGTACAGACAGATAAATTGAAAAGAAAACCCAGTTACTTAAATCAGTACAGACAGAGCAATTGAAAAGAAAAACCAGATACTTCAATCAGTAAAGACAGAGCAATTGACAAGAAAACCCAGATACTTCAATCAGTAAAGATAGAGCAATTGAAAAGAAAACCCACTTACTTAAGTCAGTAAAGACTGAGCAATTGAAAAAAAAAAAAACCCAGTTACGTCAATCAGTAAAGACAGAGCAATGGAAAAGAAAACCCAGTTACTTCAATCAGTAAAGACAGAGCAATGGAAAAGAAAACCCAGTTACTTCAATCAGTAAAGACAGAGCAATGGAAAAGAAAACCCAGTTATTTCAAACAATAATGCTGCAACTAAATTATATATGCTTTAAGAAATCTGTAAACGATAAAATGTACACTATATGATAACCTAGTGAAGAACAAACTAGGAGATGACCTACCTTAGCCTCAGTTTCAGCATCGGTGATGTAATCCCCGCCTTTTGTCAGCAGTACTCTCAACTCTGCTTTCTTCTGTTTACGTCGAGGATGGAACAGACTAAAGGGGAAGGGGATGGCGCTGGCATACCATGGACGAGTCACGTCGATGAAGGTTTTGTCATCCATCCACCAGAGATGCAGCTGAACATAAGTATAAAATGATGTTTAATGCCTTAATGTTTTGGAGATCTGCAAAACATTCTTCATGACATATGGCTGAGCTTACTTATCTGTCATTTTTGATCAGTCAATGTTAGTTGTGCTCAGGGCAAAATCTAGGTGCTTAGTCTATCTGCACAGAATGAAGTAGAGTTCTTTCATGGTAGATACTGCAGCAGGTATCATTCCACAGACGTTCACATATACAGTCACAAAGTGATGAGTGGACCAGTTCCTTCCCTCAGTTCACTGTCATCCTAAACTATCATTTTAACTGTGTTATTAGAGCTAGCCTTTGAACTGCATGCAAGCTTACTCTGGGCACTGAATTCAGATGTTCCATTGGCAAATGGGTGCACTAACATCTACGCCACCATAGACACTCTACTGAAGAGTCCAATATACAGGTAATCCCATGACAGACACTGCCATAGTGGCATGGTGACCTCACATGTTCTAGGTCAGGGCTTTCATAAACCATGGTGACCCCACATGTTCTAGGTCAGGGAATTCATAAACCATGGTGACCCCACATGTTCTAGGTCAGGGAATTCATAAAGCTGGGTGACCTCACATGTTCTAGGTCAGGGTATTCATAAAGCTGGGTGACCTCACATGTTCTAGGTCAGGGCATTCATAAAGCCGGGTGACCTCACATGTTCTATGTCAGGGAATTCATAAAGCTGGGTGACCTCACTTCACAATCTTTATCAAGTAGCTTGCCTGGATCAGAGCTGTTAGCTTGCCTGGGTAAGAACTTATAGCTTGCCTGGGTAAGAACTTATAGCCTGCCTGGGTAAGAACTTATAGCCTGCCTGTGTGAGAACTTATAGCTTGCCTGGGTAAGAACTTATAGCCTGCCTGGGTGAGAACTTATAGCCTGCCTGGGTAAGAACTTATAGCTCGCCTGGGTGAGAACTTATAGCTCGCCTGGGTAAGAACTTATAGCTTGCCTGGGTAAGAACTTATAGCCTGCCTGGGTGAGAACTTATAGCTTGCCTGGGTAAGAACTTATAGCCTGCCTGGGTGAGAACTTATAGCTTGCCTGGGTAAGAACTTATAGCTCGCCTGGGTAAGAACTTATAGCCTGCCTGGGTAAGAACTTATAGCTCGCCTGGGTAAGAACTTATAGCCTGCCTGGGTAAGAACTTATAGCTTGCCTGGGTAAGAACTTATAGCCTGCCTGGGTGAGAACTTATAGCCTGCCTGGGTAAGAACTTATAGCCTGCCTGGGTGAGAACTTATAGCTTGCCTGGGTAAGAACTTATAGCTCGCCTGGGTAAGAACTTATAGCTCGCCTGGATCAGAACTGTTAGCTTGCCTGGGTAAGAACTTATAGCTTGCCTGGATCAAAATGTTTAACCTGACTGGATGAGAAATTTTAGCATGCCTGGTTCAAAATATTTAACCTGACTGGATGAGAAATTTTAGCTTGCCTGGATCAGAACCATTAGTTGCAAGGCTGAGAACTTTAGCTTGCCTGGATCAGAACTTTTAAAATGGCTGGATGAACACTTTTATTTTGCCTGGATCACAACTTTTAGTTGTCTGAATGAGAACTTTTATCTTGCCTGGATGAGAACTTTTTATGTGGATGGATGAGAACTTTAGGCTTGCCTGGGTGAGAACTTTTAAACTGGCTAGATGAGAACTTTTAACCTGGCTAGATGAGAACTTTTATCTTGCCTGGATGAGAACTTTTAATCTGACTGGATAACTTTTATCTTGCCTGGATTAGAGCTTTGTCCTAAAACAGTTCTTTGGAAATCTCTTTAAAAAAACCAGAAGTCCTGTAACAGTTCCAAGCATGTGTCAATCATCAATCACATCTTGAATATACACGTCAGCCTTCCTCTTTTCAGCATTCCTGAAATGCAATCCTCAAAGATTTCTTTTCTGGATCCATATTCTTCAACTTGTTGTAACCAGACCATGGTCAAAATGTCCTCGGGATCCAGCAAACTTATCTGCAAAATTATGGAACGACCAGTGGAAATCAGAGGAATTAAAAGAAACGAATAAAGAAACCTTAGTTTCCAGGGTTAAGAATTGGGCACGCAAGTTCCTCTAACATTCTGTCCTTCTGGACTAATCCTGTCATATTTTATTTCATTGACGTAATAACAGAAATCATTAGACAGTGGCTCTCAACCTTCCCCATGCTGCAACCCTTTAATACAGATTCCTCATGTTGTAAAAAAACCAAAAGAGGTAAAGTCAGATGTAAACCAGCGTCATTGCACACGGTTATAAACCATAAGTGTTCTGCCACCAGTACAGACAGCTGATAAGAATTGTCCGCCTGTGTTGCCGTTCGCACGTTACTCTGTAGCTACAACAACGTTCCTTCATTTACCCCAGAGTGATAACTCTGGTACCCATTACCTAGAGGCTGGGTGTACCCCAGGGGAACTGCCCAGTTTTGAACACTGACCGTGGATTTTAAAGCGAGCCTCATATCGACTGCGCTAACGCGGCCTGCCTCATGTTGCGGCAACCCCCAAACAATTATTTACAATAACATAAAAGAATGTTTTTTTTTAAATGTGCTTAGGCGACCCCTGTGAAAGGGTCATTTGACCACACAAAAAAAAAAGGGTCCCGGCTGGCAGGTTGAGAAATGCTGAGCTAATGCTTAGTAAAAAATTGCTGGAATGTGGTTTAAATATATCTATATATCTAAATAATAATACATTTTAATTTAGTAATTGTATTAAATCTAGGGAAAATACATAACATCCTGAAAGTACCATGATCTTTTGAGGGAGCATGTAGTCTGTAATGAGATTATTTTTCTTTTTCCTCTTTGCTGACCAGCTGTAAGCTCCTGTGGAAAGTCTTGGCTGTTTGTCCACTTGGACTTGGGCTTTGTGCCACGGCCTGAGTTTTGCATGTAAATCTATTTTAATGGCTTATTTGTGTGCAGTTGGTTGTTCCTTGCTGCTCGTACAGACACACTCTGACTTCGAAGGAAGCTCTCAATTGGTGGACTACGACGACATGCTTGTACTGATAGGCAGTGGGTCTGTTCTTGTTTACCCAACAATAGAGCCCTAGAACCTAGACTGGGAAGACAAAATACAAACAGTTTCCAACTGTATGTACAGAGATTTGTGGTGTTTCTGACTGGATGTGGAAGATGGTTCTACAGATGAGCTGTAGAGTACACTAAACTTGTCTTGTACAGGTCTATCTCAGGTTTAATAAAGTAACAACAATTGTATTGATCGGCGCCCATAGAAAGAAGTAGAAAGATAGAAAAACACACCAGACAACATAAAAATTGAAATCTGCCAGAAATTGAACATGTCACCTCTAGACGGCATGTGCTTCTCGCTATGGAAACAAGTGCATGAAAAACATGGTCAACTAGACACCCCCCTCCAAAGGTGTCTTATTGGCCATGTCTATCATATCTCTTGAAATCCACAACTTTTAAATATGGACAGAGTTCGTTTCAAACCATTGAAATGGCACCATAAGATACATAAATTTATACAACTAACGAAGCATAGGTCGAATAACAAGCACAGCAACAATAATGAACACAGTAGACCTTTTTGCTTTTGTCTAGAATATACAAACATTCAAGAAATGTATCTGATTGGTGAGTTCCGGTGTGTTTATGTCATTCACATAAATAAACATATTGGGGAACCCTTGAGGCGGTTAAATATAATATATTAATAAAGTAACAGAAAATGTATTGATTGGCACTCATATTATATTTAACAGTCTCGGGGGTTCCCCCTCTGTTTTTTAAATCTCAGGTTCAGGGATGTGTGATATGTTTAGGGATGTGTGATATGTTTAGGGATGTGTAATATATTTAGAGATGTGTAATATGCTTAGGGATGTGTAATATGTTTAGGCGTTTGCCAAGTCTTTCATTATATTTAAACAACGACCAAAGGATTCCTGCAGGTTAAATCACGGAAACTATGCTGCAGGTTAAATCACAGAAACTATGCTGCAGGTTAAATCACAGAAACTATGCTGCAGGTTAAATCACAGAAACTATGCTGCAGGTTAAATCACAGAAACTATGCTTCAGGTTAAATCACAGAAACTATGCTGCAGGTTAAATCACAGAAACTATGCTGCAGGTTAAATCACAGAAACTATGCTGCAGGTTAAATCACAGAAACTATGCTGCAGGTTAAATCACAGAAACTATGCTGCAGGTTAAATCACGGAAACTATGCTGCAGGTTAAATCACAGAAACTATGCTGCAGGTTAAATCACAGAAACTATGCTGCAGGTTAAATCACATAAACTTTGCTGCAGGTTAAATCACAGAAACTATGTTGCAGGTTAAATCACAGAAACTATGCTGCAGGTTAAATCAAGGAAACTATGCTGCAGGTTAAATCACAGAAACTATGCTGCAGGTTAAGTCACAGAAACTATACTGCAGGTTAAATCACAGAAACTTTGCTGCAGGTTAAATCACAGAAAATATGCTGCAGGTTAAATCACGGAAACTATGCTGCAGGTTAAATCACAGAAACTATGCTGGAGGTTATATCAGAGAAACTATGCTGCAGGTTTAATCACGGAAACTATGCTGCAGGTTAAATCACATAAAATTTGCTGCAGGTTAAATCACAAAAACTATGCTGCAGGTTAAATCACAGAAACTATGCTTCAGGTTAAATCACAGAAACTATGCTTCAGGTTAAATCACAGAAACTATGCTTCAGGTTAAATCACAGAAACTATGCTTCAGGTTAAATCACAGAAACTATGCTTCAGGTTAAATCACAGAAACTATGCTTCAGGTTAAATCACATACACTTTGCTGCAGGTTAAATCACAGAAACTATGCTGCAGGTTAAATCACAGAAACTATGCTGCAGATTAAATCACAGAAACTATGCTGCAGGTTAAATCACAGAAACTATGCTACAGGTTAAATCACAGAAACTATGCTGCAGATTAAATCACAGAAACTATGCTGCAGGTTAAATCAATATTCAGCAATGTAAACAGCCACATACCAGAGCAGGAAGCAGTCTCTCTTCCAGCATGGCTGAGAATGCCAGGACATCGGCACTTTGCTTACAGGACAACTCATGATCACTGCCCCAGTTCTGAAACACAACTAGGAAATTAAAGAAACTATTGGACACACCATGCAACTGGGCAGGTGAACAATGAGACATGACCTGTGACAAGGTAGATGAAACAAGTAAATATAACATGCAAATGGCTCAGGTGAATGGGACTTAAAGTGTGATAGGCTTAGAAAGCAAATGGACACAACATGAGAACCGGGACATATGAGACAAGAAGACTTGATATGTGACGCAACTAACTTAAATCTAAGGTACACTTTGTGAACATAGAGACACCCTGACAATAATCTGTTGGCAGAGATTTGACAAAAATGTCAGAATGTGTCATCAAAGACAGCCATATCCTCCTGAAGATAGTCAACAGTATGTATGGTCACCTGTAGCTCCAGTGGCCCCTGCTGCACTCTTCATTATGATCCTTTCCAGTACTGCTGAACTGAATCTTGATTCCATCACTTCTAACTGCATGCAGCTCTCTCATGCAACAAGCCACCATTTACATCTTCCTTCCTCAACCTCAATATCTGGAGAGGTGACTGGGAGGCCGGCCAGATTTTCATGTACAACAATATGGTCTGACAAAAAGCTGAGGTCATAACATGTAAGTACAGAAACCTGACACAATTACTTTTTCAATGTAGAGACCTGAGGTCAATAATTTGTCAACAAGAGAGACCTGAGGTCAATAATTTGTCAATAAGAGAGACCTGAGGTCAATACTTTGTCAGCAGAGAGACCCGAGGTCGATAATTTGTCAACAAGAGAGACCTGAGGTCAATAATTTGTCAATAAGAGAGACCTGAGGTCAATACTTTGTCAGCAGAGAGACCCGAAGTCAATAATTTGTCAATAAGAGAGACCTGAGGTCAATCATTTGTCAGCAGAGAGACCTGAGGTCAATCATTTGTCAGCAGAGAGACCTGAGGTCAATAATTTGTCAACAAGAGAGACATGAGGTCAATAATCTGTCAACAAGAGAGACCTGAGGTCAATAATTTGTCAACAAGAGAGACATGAGGTCAATAATCTGTCAACAAGAGAGACCTGAGGTCAATAATTTGTCAACAAGAGAGACCTGAGGTCAATAATCTGTCAACAAGAGAGACCTGAGGTCAATCATTTGTCAGCAGAGAGACCTGAGGTCAATCATTTGTCAGCAGAGAGACCTGAGGTCAATAATCTGTCAGCAAAGAGACATGAGGTCAATAATCTGTCAACAAGTGAGACCTGAGGTCAATCATTTGTCAGCAGAGAGACCCGAGGTCAATAATTTGTCAATAAGAGAGACCTGAGGTCAATCATTTGTCAACAAGAGAGACATGAGGTCAATAATCTGTCAACAAGAGAGACATGAGGTCAATAATTTGTCAACAAGAGAGACCTGAGGCCAATAATTTGTCAATAAGAGAGACATGAGGTCAATAATTTGTCAGCAGAGAGACCTGAGGTCAATAATTTGTCAACAAGAGAGACATGAGGTCAATAATTTGTCAACAAGAGAGACCTGAGGCCAATAATTTGTCAATAAGAGAGACATGAGGTCAATAATTTGTCAGCAGAGAGACCTGAGGTCAATAATTTGTCAACAAGAGAGACCTGAAGTCAATAATCTGTCAACAAGAGAGACCTGAGGTCAATAATGTGTCAACAAGAGAGACCCGAGGTCAATAGTTTGTCAGCAGAGAGACATGAGAACAAACAAACATTCAACAACACAGAGATAATACCTCTTTTCTGAGAAAATTGAAGATATCTGACACCTTTGTGTAGCTCTCACCTTTGTACTGAAGAACTGGAAAATTTCCTGATAAAGAAATGTTATTTAAAAATTATGTGACAGTTAAGTAGGAATACTACACTTTACACTGCCTTACTTATTTAGTGTCATGACCGCAATATCTGATATGTTCTCGATCGCTGTGTGGGTTTCTCAAACAATCACATGACAAAATACAACTAATTCACAGTGTTCCCTGCAAAGTCCAAGTGCATCTGTCTCAGAGGTTAGCAACAACAGTCTGCTCACAAATAGGCCAGATTTGTAAAATGGACATGCACCCAAAACTCCAGCTCTGAAACAAGACAAAAGTCCTGGTCGCCAAAAACTTTCCGCCACATTTTACAGTACATAACAGCTAAAAAGAAGAAGAAGAGCAAGAAAATGTTCTAGAAATTGTATTCAAAACAAATTTGCAGGGATATTAAAATTTAGCTGTGTATCCTTTACAGAAACTTGCAGAACCAACCCCAGCATTGTTTTTGCCACAGACGCCAACGTAGGAATATTACAGATACTATAAGCTGCACTAAGACGATTGTTTCAACATTTAAAATGCAACAGCTATTTTCTAAAAAAGTTACATAAATATACTGCATACTATGAAATCACAAATAACTAAAGTTAAAAGTAAGATCAAATTGGCACAAAGACTTAAAATTCAGAAGACACTGGGAAACCTGTCTGGTCAAATCAATGAATACATATTGTAACAAAGATGAGCAGTTGCAGTCCTGTGGTAGGGCAGTGATGAGAAGCTTGCTTGCTGGCATAAAAGGTTTCTGGTTCGAACCAGCATCAAGGTGAGCTCTGATCATTTATCTAGGGCTCCCAGATTTGTATTTTTTTTTTAAATGGGTGCGAAGAAATGTCCTGGGACATCAAGGCAGCTGAAGTGATAATGACCAGTAACAGAATGAGACACATCAGGGAAAATACACCTTTATACAGTAATCATTGATTTGTTTTTCATTTCCCAATGGAAAAATGATAGATTAGCTGGATATACAGGTACTGATGTGTATCCCTGAAGCATGGACAGAACTATACGCCAGCCGGATGAAAGTATTTGTCTGTCCCTGAAGTATGGACAAACAATAAGCATGCTGGATTACAGTACTTTGTGAAGAACAGATTAAAAAAAGAGTGTGTGTAGGCAGGCTGTACTTGACTGTTTGACAGATGCTAATAGGCAGGCTGTATTCTTTACTGTTTTACAGATGCTAATAAAGTTAAGTACAGGACCCTTTTTAACACCTTTAGAAGCACAAATAGAAACCTAGATGGGGCTGATGAACAAGAGACCATATTTTTATTTTTATTCTTAAGAAGTGTAGAGAATACAAGATAGATCTTAATACCTGTTTCATAGTCTACAGAAGAACATTTGACTGTGTGCAACACCAAAAACTGTGGCATAAAATGAGAGGCATGGGATTTTCAAAACATCAGGTGCACCGAATGGAATCTCTTTACCATGACAACAAGCAGCAGTCAGAGTAGCTGGTGAAATAGAGTCGTGTGAAGTGCAGAAAGGAGTGAGACAGGGCTGAATTCTTTCTCCATCTCTTTTTAAAATATATGTTAAGAATGTTATGCGAAACGCAATTAGCAACGAAGCATGTGAGAGCTTTGATCCACTAAACATTGGAGGTTATCCTATCCCAGAACTCAGATATGCAGATGACATAGTTTTCCTTTCCTACAGTGTACAAGGTTAAGAAAAATTAATTCTGGCTGTCAAACAGCACAGCGAAGAAGTGAATGTTTTACCTGAATTTGAAATACTTCAGCTCTTTAATCAGCAACAGTGGAGACTGCTCGAAAGAGGTCAGAAGAAGGCTTGCAGAGATTAAACAGCATCAAGAACCTATGGCAAAGCACCTGTAAATTAGTTAAGGTAAAAATCTTGACTATGCATTTTTTCTGTAGCAACCTGGCAACATATGGCTGTGAGTCCTAGACTAATCACTGAAGAAAAAGATTGCAGCTTATGAATTAAAACGTTACAGAAAAATTATCAGATTATCATGGATTAAAAAGAAGAAAAAAATTGATATATCTGCATGAATTAAACATCAAGGAGAACTGGTTCATAAACAGCGTCCTGTACCAAAAGTTAAAGTATTTTGGCCACATCAAATGTCATGGTGGCTTGAAAAAGATGGTGATGAAGGGTGCAGTTTGTGGAAAGCCAGACAGGGGTCGACCTCCGTCAAGATGGATACAGGACATTGAAGATGCACTGACACTGAAAACTCATTGGGCCGGAGAGAGGGCTAGGGAAAGGGATACTTTCAGGCCTGCCGTGAGGAGAGCAAAGTTCTGTCAAAGACTTGCTGACGATGAATCTAACTCTTACCTGAAGGAGAATACCAAGGATTCCCTGTTTTAATAACTTCTACAGGCACTCCTGAAAATTTACAATAGGCCTGCAAACAAAAACAATTGTAAATAATGTTATTAAAGTGACTTCACTTTCCACATTCTCACCCCCCCCCCCCCCCCACCCCACACACACACCAAATTGATTTCCTATACAACAGATGAATTCTTCTTTACTACTAATTATAACAGTACTAAGCATCAGATTCAAAATGTACATTCATTTCTCTTTAAAAAAAATATATACTTCTGTAGGGATTAGAAGTATATTACACTCTCTATTGCTTTTTTTGTATGCCACTTCTTTTACAATTTTTGTCAAGGGGAAATTAATGTGGGCCAAGCCTGTCAAAATGTATGGGCCATAAAGAGTTAAAAATAAAGACTTTGTCTTAGATACCAAGCCTTGCCCTTAGATACCAAGCCTTGCCCTTAGATACCAAGCCTTGCCCTTAGATACCAAGCCTTGCCCTTAGATACCAAGCCTTACCCTTAGATACCAAGCCTTGCCCTTAGATACCCAGCCTTGTCCTTAGATACCAAGCCTTGCCCTTAGATACCCAGCCTTGTCCTTAGATACCAAGCCTTGCCCTTAGATACCAAGCCTTGCCCTTAGATACCAAGTCTTGCCCTTAGATACCCAGCCTTGCCCTTAGATACCCAGCCTTGCCCTTAGATACCTAGCCTTGCCCTTAGATACCAAACCTAGACCTTAGATACCAAGCCTTGCCCTTAGATATCAAGCCTTGCCCTTAGATACAAAGCCTTGCCCTTAGATACCAAGCCTTGCCCTTAGATACCCAGCCTAACCCTTAGCTATCCAGCCTTGCCCTTAGATACCCAGCCTAACCCTTAGCTATCCAGCCTTGCCCTTAGATACCAAGCCTTGCCCTTAGATACCCAGCCTAGACCTTAGATACCAAGCCTAGACCTTAGATACCAAGCCTTGCTCTTAGATACCAAACTTTGCCCTTAGATACCAAGTCTTGCCCTTAGATACCCAGCCTAACCCTTAGATACCAAGCCTTGTCCTTAGATATCAAGCCTTACTCTTAGATACCAAGCCTAGACCTTAGATACCAAACTTTGTCCTTAGATATCAAGCCTTGCTCTTAGATACCAAGCCCTGCCCTTAGATACCAAGCCTTGCCATTAGATACCAAGCCTTGCCCTTAGATACTAAGCCGGTTCTCTTTGCAATAACGGTCGCTACTTGGACGACGACGGCCGCTTAGTCGTAGTTCAGTCCCCTGGCTGCAGTGCAATTACAGAGTGGACAAGGCACGAATCACAAAACACAGTGAGTTCAACATGGCGTCTAGACCACGGGCTGCGACACACATTAGCCTAACCCTACCCCTAATTATGCCATTTGTGTCGTTCCCTCTTTTTCACTCCGTAATTGGGACTGAACTCCGACTAAGCGGCCGTCGCCGTCCAACTAGCCACCGATATTGCAAGGAGAGCCACCAAAACTTGCCCTTGGAAACTAAGGTTAGCTTTCGTCTAAGAAACCAAGGCTTATCGCTACCTTAGATACAAAGATTAGCAATCAGATTACCAGCCTAGCATTAGCCCTATATAAAGGCTATATTCGTTTGTGCTGTGTAGGCACTCAATATGTTTAAAAAATATATATTAAAGCAGGCGATAGAACTAATCAACTATTGACTATTGAAATTGATAGATAGTTAGTTAGATAGCGATAGTATTAATTAGGGACCACAGATCCGGAAATTTGCTATCTTTTCGACAATTTCCGTTACCATAGAAACCGTTTAAAACTTGTTTCGGAAATGTCGGCTGGGGTTTCGGGATGGGTCCTAATCTCTCATGAAATTTTGCCATTGGTGTGATTTTCACCCACTCTAAATAGCTGAAAACGGCGGGAAGGAACCCGATTAACAGCGCATGTCTACGACAGCCGGACATTCTCTGTTTTTCTGTTAGTCTATCAGTTTGATTGAAAATAGCGGTAAATTCGAGGTTGGCTTTAGGCTTAAACATTACCAGTTGTGGTAATGCTAGTTACAATTGAATTCTCCGTCCAATTTTACATTTGCATATTAAATTTTTTTTCCCGACTCTGGCTGTTTAGATTTACAGTGACATTTTTTAGGCAATCGCATGCGGCTGAGTGAGCTGAGTCTCACTGCCTGCCATCTTGTCCAATGACAGTCCAATGTCAACAAAGCCGATACAGAACTGCGCAGTAGGTTGCGCAGTCAAAAAACTTCTTGTTTCTGGGTCACAAGTTTTAGCGGCTGTTTCTTACATCTAATCTCCACAAAAACCTACATATCTCAGCTCAGAAATGACATACAAGCCTAAATGAGGTACCATTGGAAAGAGATTGTTTACAGCTATCTAACTGTGCTGGTTTTATTGGTGTAGAGGGCATTTTAAAAATTTGACTGAAGTAGCTATATTAATAGTAGGATGATAAAAACTCCAAATTCCCTCGCTTTAAATGCAAAGAAGATTGCTAATATAAAATCGTTTAATGAAATAGTATCTGTGATTTACCAGCACGGCTAGGCAATGAGGGTCTACTGACGGCAGACCCCAGTCTCCCCTCCAAACCGTCAGTTTAATTTTCTCGTACGCCATTTTAACCTTCGATCCGCCGGAAACGGAAATGCAACTCTTCTTCTATTCGGCGTTTGCCCTTTAAAAAAAATGCGACTGGAACTTTGCTTTGTTATGCGATAGACTCTGCCCAGAATTAACTAAAACTTAAAGAAGTCATGGGATACACCGACCGACGAGGCCTAGGGCATGGGAAAGTGGTATTAGAACAGATCATGAACACCGAAAACGAGACTCAGGCACGTCCTGTCATCGTTCAAGAAAGCCCTAGGCCAGGAAAGATTTACTTGGCCAAGCTAGAATAAGGGCCAATGCTAGGGCATACATGCAGTACCTTTCAAGTGTGATGAAAGCCTTAAAGATACCGCGCAATTCTATTGGTGTATTTGTCCATTCTTTACCTTGACTGATCTCGCCTAGGTCACATACCTGCTGGAATAAATCTTATTGCAATTGCAAAAATTGCAATCCAGGAGCGGCCTCCTTTGAGACGCATCACTTTTGTTGTCATGTCTAGCTCTGTGCAGTGTGTGGTTAACGTCTGCGATACCCTCAGGTACGCTTAGACCTGTGCGAATTTGTGTCCGTTAGCCATCGTCGGCAAACCCAGGATATATCACATAGCGAGGCAGGAGTTGACTTTTATGCAACCGAGACTCATGGCGTCGTTTTGTACTCGGACTGGGTTTTGCTGATAGCGAGGAAGCACACAACATAGTCAGTGACGCTTAATACAAGCCCTTGATAGAGAAGAAATAGTAGGCATTGTCCAAATCAGTTGGTGCTAGCACCTTGAGTGCTGTCAGACCTTTCCTGGCCCTAAGTTGTGGTTTACATCTGTGCTGTGATATCGGTCTAACATATCACATGTCAATAAATGTTTAATAGCCGCCTAGTACGGCATGCTCAAAAGGAGCAGCTAGTAAACTATTTCCTTAAAAAAAAAAAAAAAAAAAACGCTGGAACCCATTTTCAATAGCAGGCAGTATTGTAATCTCTAACATAACCTAAGGAAACAAAAAAAAAAAAAAAAAAAACACTTTTCTGCATCAACAACTGGGCTTGGTCTCATGGCTTGATGATCGCCAGATCCCCTCTATATCTGCGCTTTTGTCTTCTTCTGTTTATAGTCCATGCTACATGTCATCTAGCGTTTACACCGTCCTGTAGGCTATCTGGTGGATTGCCGTGTATTGACACCGTCCTGTAGGCTATCTGGTGTATTGACACCGTCCTGTAGGCTATCTGGTGTATTGACACCGTCCTGTAGGCTATCTGGTGTATTGCCGTGTATTGACACCGTCCTGTAGGCTAACTGGTGTATTGCCGTGTATTGACACCGTCCTGTAGGCTAGCTGGTGTATTGCCGTGTATTGACACCGTCCTGTAGGCTAGCTGGTGTATTGCCGTGTATTGACACCGTCCTGTAGGCTAGCTGGTGTATTGCCGTGTATTGACACCGTCCTTTAGGCTAGCTGGTGTATTGCCGTGTATTGACACCGTCCTGTAGGCTAGCTGGTGTATTGCCGTGTATTGACACGGTCCTTTAGGCTAGCTGGTGTATTGCCTTGTATTGACACCGTCCTGTAGGCTAGCTGGTGTATTGCCGTGTGTTGACACCGTCCTGTAAGCTATCTGGTGTATTGCCGTGTCGCCAAACGATTTTCTCTTGTTAATACCATCTCGACAGAAGCATATGTTCTCTTCTTGTGCTTACCATGTCTCTTGGACATTAAGAACCGCCTGTCTGCTCTAGTTGTCCTCTTTCCGTGTTATGCCCAAATAAAGTGAGCTGACCAGGTGCGGGTAACCAGTTCTCTGTGTAAGTTAATTGCTTTTGGGATATTGTTACTTTTCAATGCTCTAAAATTAATTCTATTAAAATATTCTGCGACTTCCACAAAATTCTTCACAAATTTGCTTGCTGTCCATAATGCTTCAGAACTGGTTAGTCAGGTCTATACACCAATAACATGTCAGTGAAATTTGGACAGAACAGATGACACACAACCATGTCTATTTCAACGTACATCTCATATATTTTTTTCAACCTATCACAGATCGAATGGCTATGCCGAATACAGAAACAGCGTTGAACCATACAGCTGATTTCCTGATTAACTAAAAACAAGAAAGGAACTGGTTGATCGCCTCAATTTTGATTTATCATCATCACCGCCATTGTGTCGTGTACACAACACACAGGGCTCTCAGTCTAGCCCTTCATTCCCTTCTTCCCACGGCCATTTTGTGATATCATGCATGAAGTCCAGTTCAGCCTCCTTGGCCTTTTTCATCAACGTTCATCTTCGAATAAAAGAAATGCAAGTGTTAATGATACATAAATGATATTGATAAGAAATAGAATATGGTAATAATGGTTTCCGGGAACACCTCTCTGATATCGACAAAAAGACACTCAAACTAATCCCTCTTCATTTTAATAGCCCTGACCACAGCGGTAAAGATGACATATCTGTCACAGTATTAAAATCTTGCTCTGGCGATCATACTACCCGCCTCGCTTTGGAAAATCGCCTTATCCACAGCCTTGGCGTTCTTAGTCCAAGAGGTATCAATATCCAACATACCGTCATCTAAATAGTTCTAATCTTATCACATTTTAAATGTTAATTATTTTATTTTATTTCATATTATTACCATATTCTATTTCTTATCAATATCATTTATGTATCATTAACACTTGCATTTCTTTTATTCCCAGTATTGTGACTATATTTTTTAGCCATCGTTTATTTTATTTTATTTCATTTATTCCGCATCACATTTTTTAAACGTCGCTCACGTCACCCCTTAGAGATCTACATACTCTCCATTCCTCTTTTGTGTATTTCACTTGTGTTTGAAAAAGGCTGCCCGGCCGAAACGTTATGTTGTGTTGTTTTGTGCACGTTTTCCTCTTTCCCATTTTGTTGAGCTTTTTAGTCAAATTTCTCTTGAATTCATTGTTTTAGCTTGACTGCAGTCACCCCCATAGTTTCACCACTTCTGACTGTCACCATGTACATCAGTTTTCTCGTTCTTATGACATGACAAAGAATGTAGATAAATGGTTCCTTTCTGATATTGGCAAACTGTTCTCTTCCTGAGTCAGTTTTTTTTCAAGATATCTTCATTATTCTTTTGATCTTCCATAGTATATGCATCATTCATCTATGAAACTACACCTCTGCCACTTCCAATTAATTTGTTACTAATCTACCAACTGTCCGTGATTCACTTCCAGACATATAAGGATAGGATTTACATAGCTCCTGAGAATTTGTATTCTCCTTAATCAAGCATCACCAATATAATAAACCCAGAGGGCACACCAAGAGAGTTACTTGTTGCACTCTAGAATTAACAGTCAGGGACACTAAATGTTTCAACCTCCATCCCAAACAGACGGATCAACAAAGGAGGCACTGATGAATCGTGGAGCAGGTGTTTACAATAAAGTCTCAGATAGAACTAAATGTTACAACCTCCACGCCCAACAGACAGATCAACACCTGAATGGTGGAGCAGGTGTTCACAATAAAGTCTCAGATGGCACTAAATGTTATGACCCCCACGCCCAGCCTGGAGGGGAATGGTAGCCATAGATGCTGAGCCCAGCCTGGAGGGGATGGGTAGCAATAGATGCTGAGCCCAGCCTGGAGGGATGGGTAGCCATAGATGCTGAGCCCAGCCTGGAGGGATGGGTAGCCATAGATGCTGAGCCCAGCCTGGAGGGATGGGTAGCAATAGATGCTGAGCCCAGCCTGGAGGGATGGGTAGCCATAGATGCTGAGCCCAGCCTGGAGGGATGGGTAGCAATAGATGCTGAGCCCAGCCTGGAGGGATGGGTAGCCATAGATGCTGAGCCCAGCCTGGAGGGATGGGTAGCCATAGATGCTGAGCCCAGCCTGGAGGGATGGGTAGCAATAGATGCTGAGCCCAGCCTTGAGGGATGGGTAGCCATAGATGCTGAGCCTAGCCTGGAGGGATGGGTAGCCATAGATGCTGAGCCCAGCCTGGAGGGGATGGGTAGCAATAGATGCTGAGCCCAGCCTGGAGGGGATGGGTAGCCATAGATGCTGAGCCCAGCCTGGAGGGGATGGGTAGCCATAGATGCTGAGCCCAGCCTGGAGGGGATGGGTAGCAATAGATGCTGAGCCCAATCTAATGAAGACAGCAATCAGCACATTCCCATGGTTAACACAGATAGGTCAGCATAAGAGACAATGATGAACAGCATAGCAGGTGTTTACATTAACTCTTTAGTACCAAGCAAAGCATAGTGCGTTCATCCATTTGTTTAGCTATTCCACCTCACAGTTTTATTATTTTAATTCCTTCACAGCCTAGCTTGTTAGTTAGAGTAACGAATTATGATACACAGAATTAAACTAACGCCCACCTGGGTCTTTAGGAGTTGAACATTCAATTGCCACACCTGTGTCCCTAGCAGTCCCCACTGGATACATTGGCTGCAGCCATAAGGCAGATGTGCAGCCCTATTGATGGCAGCACAGTACACGAACAAGCTGCAAACCCCTGCAGGCTGGATGGTTTTTTTCCTCACTGATTAACTGTCAGCCAAACAGGCAGGCTCTAGAGCAGTGGCTAATGTCGCAACCCTTTAATACATCTCCTCATGTAGTGGCGACCCTTTAATACATCTCCTCGTGTTGTGGCAACCCTTTAATACATCTCCTCATGTTGTGGCAACCCTTTAATACATTTCCTCATGTTGTGGCAACCCTTTAATACATCTCCTCATGTTGTGGCGACCCTTTAATACATCTCATGTTGTGGCATCTCTTTAATACATCTCCTCATGTTGTGGCGACCATTTAATACATCTCCTCATGTTGTGGCGACCCTTTAATACATCTCCTCATGTTGTGGCGACCCTTTAATACATCTCCTCATGTTGTGGTGACCCTTTAATACATCTCCTCATGTTGAGGCAGCCCTTTAATACATCTCCTCATGTTGTGGCAACCCTTTAATACATCTCCTCATGTTGTGGCAACCCTTTAATACATCTCCTCATGATGTGGCAACCCTTTAATACATCTCCTCATGTTTTGGCAACCCTTTAATACATCTCCTCATGTTGTGGCGACCCTTTAATACATTTCCCCAACCATACAATTATTTTTGTTGTTACTTCATAACTTCAATAAATAGGTGTTTTCCGATGGTCTTTTGCAACCCCTGTGAAAGAGTTGTTTGACCAAAAAAAAAAAAAGGTTGCGATTCAAGGGTTCAGAACCGCTGCTCTAGAGGGTAAAACTACCGATAGCACACTACAAAGTCTAAAAAAATAGTTTGCTGAGTTATTATTTTCATAAAATCAACAAATAACCCATCCACCATGGCTGGCTTCCCATCCACCATGGCTGGCTTCCCATCCACCATGGCTGGCTTCCCATCCACCATGGCTGGCTTCCCATCCACCATTGCTGGCTTCCCATCCACCATTGCTGGCTTCCCATCCACCATGGCTGGCTTCCCATCCACCATGGCTGGCTTCCCATCCACCATGGCTGGCTTTTGGGCACATAATTCAACAGAAAATGAAAATGTCTGACCAATTTAACTTCACTGAAAAAAAAAAATATACACTCAACATAATTTTTCAATGTTTCCTTTATAAAGCCTGACTAATTTGTTGCAAAGCACTAACACATGGCACTTTGACAAACTATCAATCAATCTTTTCTATGTACATTTTTCTAGTAAACAATGTTAAAAAAAAATTTTAAATAACAAAAACAAAGGAAAAAGACAAAATATAATTTCACCTATAGGCTGTCAACAATAAATACATAACATGAAATAAACAAAAGGGATACAGCACATTTTTACTGTCAACTAAAACAAAATATTGTACACCCATATGTTTACTCTCAACTCAAACAAAAGCAGCATTTTATTCAAAAATTTACTGACAATTAAAACAAAATAAAGTTTCATCCATATTGTTACTGCCAATAACTCAAACCAAACCGAACATGAACAAAATGTTACATCTATACCTGAACTGTCAGCATCTAATGATCTGGGGTACATCCATGAGATCACATTAAAGCAACCAAGTAACAGAAACTCTACACAAAGCTTTTATGTTCTCAATTCCCAACCAAGGAAGGAGGCACAAATTTGAGGAGACTGGTTCGAATCTGTTCGCCTTTAGGTTGAACCCGTGGCTTCCAATGAGCACTGGATAATTTGTAGAATGTTCTGGGAGGGTAGTACTGCAATGTATAGTATATGACCCAGTACAGTACACTTGCATGACCCAGTACAGTACATTTGCATGACCCAGTACAGTACATTTGCATGACCCAGTACAGTACACTTGATGTCTGTCCCTTCACATAAATATGGCAGTAACTATGGTAGCACTTCTATGTGATTCTGTATTCTTGTTTAAAAGTGCAGTTGGCATACTGTGTTGTGGTTTACAGCTAGGCTGCAATATCTGCACCTTACAGCCCAATACATCCGATTTCAGCAAACCCATAAATAGTAACCTTTTATGACATGCCTGTGGGACAGGGGGGAGGGGCACGGCAAGTCTATTTTTTCTTCTTCTTTTCTTTGCTCCTGGAATGGCTCACAGTGCCAGGGCAGGAAGAGACGCAGGTAACCAGTTCTCTGTGTAAGTTAATTCTTTTTGGAATATCATTACTTACTACCGCAAGTTAGGGCCACACAGTTAGTGCAGTCAAACTACTGACAGTTAGTGCAGTAAAACTACCGCAAGTTAGGGCCACACAGTTAGTGCAGTCTAACTACTGACAGTTAGCGCAGTAAAACTACCATAAGTTAGGGCCACACAGTTAGTGCAGTCTAACTACTGACAGTTAGTGCTGTATAACTACCATAAGTTAGGGCCACACAGTTAGTGCAGTCTAACTACTGACAGTTAGTGCTGTATAACTACCATAAGTTAGGGCCACACAGTTAGTGCAGTCTAACTACTGACAGTTAGTGCTGTATAACTACCATAAGTTAGGGCCACACAGTTAGTGCCGTCTAACTACTGACAGTTAGTGCTGTATAACTAACTGTAAGTTAGGGCCACACAGTTAGTGCCGTCTAACTACTGACAGTTAGTGCTGTATAACTACCATAAGTTAGGGCCACACAGTTAGTGCAGTCTAACTACTGACAGTTAGTGCTGTATAACTACCGTAAGTTAGGGCCACACAGTTAGTGCAGTCTAACTACTGACAGTTAGCGCAGTATAACTACCTAAGTTAGGGCCACACAGTTAGTGCAGTCTAACTACTGACAGTTAGTGCTGTATAACTACCATAAGTTAGGGCCACACAGTTAGTGCAGTCTAACTACTGACAGTTAGCGCAGTATAACTACCTAAGTTAGGGCCACACAGTTAGTGCAGTCTAACTACTGACAATTAGTGCTGTATAACTACCGTAAGTTAGGGCCACACAGTTAGTGCAGTCTAACTACTGACAGTTAGCGCAGTATAACTACCGTAAGTTAGGGCCACACAGTTAGTGCAGTCTAACTACTGACAGTTAGCGCTGTATAACTACCATAAGTTAGGGCCACACAGTTAGTGCAGTCTAACTACTGACAGTTAGTGCTGTATAACTACCATAAGTTAGGGCCACACAGTTAGTGCCGTCTAACTACTGACAGTTAGTGCTGTATAACTACTGTAAGTTAGGGCCACACAGTTAGTGCTGTATAACTACTGTAAGTTAGGGCCACACAGTTAGTGCCGTATAACTACTGACAGTTAGTGCTGTATAACTACTGTAAGTTAGGGCCACACAGTTAGTGCCGTCTAACTACTGACAGTTAGTGCTGTATTACTACCATAAGTTAGGGCCACACAGTTAGTGCCGTCTAACTACTGACAGTTAGTGCTGTATAACTACCATAAGTTAGGGCCACACAGTTAGTGCCGTCTAACTACTGATAGTTAGTGCTGTATAACTACCATAAGTTAGGGCCACACAATTAGTGCAGTCTAACTACTGACAGTTAGCGCAGTATAACTACCGTAAGTTAGGGCCACACAGTTAGTGCAGTCTAACTACTGACAGTTAGTGCTGTATAACTACCATAAGTTAGGGCCACACAGTTAGTGCAGTCTAACTACTGACAGTTAGTGCTGTATAACTACCGTAAGTTAGGGCCACACAGTTAGTGCCGTCTAACTACTGACAGTTAGCGCAGTATAACTACCTAAGTTAGGGCCACACAGTTAGTGCAGTCTAACTACTGACAGTTAGCGCAGTATAACTACCGTAAGTTAGGGCCACACAGTTAGTGCAGTCTAACTACTGACAGTTAGTGCTGTATAACTACCATAAGTTAGGGCCACACAGTTAGTGCAGTCTAACTACTGACAGTTAGTGCTGTATAACTACCGTAAGTTAGGGCCACACAGTTAGTGCCGTCTAACTACTGACAGTTAGCGCAGTATAACTACCTAAGTTAGGGCCACACAGTTAGTGCAGTCTAACAACTGACAGTTAGTGCTGTATAACTACCATAAGTTAGGGCCACACAGTCAGTGCCGTCTAACTACTGACAGTTAGTGCTGTATAACTACCGTAAGTTAGGGCCACACAGTTAGTGCCGTCTAACTACTGACAGTTAGTGCTGTATAACTACCGTAAGTTAGGGCCACACAGTCAGTGCAGTCTAACTACTGACAGTTAGTGCTGTATAACTACCGTAAGTTAGGGCCACACAGTTAGTGCAGTCTAACTACTGACAGTTAGTGCTGTATAACTACCATAAGTTAGGGCCACACAGTTAGTGCAGTCTAACTACTGACAGTTAGTGCTGTATAACTACCGTAAGTTAGGGCCACAAGTCAGTGCCGTCTAACTGCTGACAGTTAGCGCAGTATAACTACCGTAAGTTAGGGCCACACAGTTAGTGCAGTCTAACTACTGACAGTTAGTGCTGTATAACTACCATAAGTTAGGGCCACACAGTTAGTGCAGTCTAACTACTGACAGTTAGTGCTGTATAACTACCCTAAGTTAGGGCCACACAGTTAGTGCAGTCTTACTACTGACAGTTAGTGCTGTATAACTACCGTAAGTTAGGGCCACACAGTTAGTGCAGTCTAACTACTGACAGTTAGTGCTGTATAACTACCGTAAGTTAGGGCCACACAGTTAGTGCAGTCTAACTACTGACAGTTAGTGCTGTATAACTACCGTAAGTTAGGGCCACACAGTCAGTGCCGTCTAACAACTGACAGTTAGCGCAGTATAACTACTGTAAGTTAGGGCCACACAGTTAGCGCAGTTTAACTACCGACAGTTAGCACAATCTAACTGTCACAAGTCAGGATTCTACCCTCCTCTTCCCTAACAGAGTAAACCCACTAATCTTACTGAGAATTCCAGCCTGGGTCTCTGGCATTCTTTAATGCTTGCAAGCATCCTGACAACAATCATTAACTAAGTTTCAGTATGTTTGGTTTCATATCTTTTCATGAAAGTCACATGTAACCATGGAGCTTGTCACCTGCCTATGCACATCGTTTTCTGAAGTGTCTGTGAAACCCACAAGCTATGCCACAGCTGCTAAATTGTTGAAAGCATAACAACATCAGCAAAGAAACCGTATCAATATGGAATCCAACATCTATAGCAACCGTGGACAGACTAATAGCCAGTGACTGCTAAATGCTGTAGGGTTAAACTTGTGTGTGCTTCTATTGCTTGGATTTCTCTACAGTCTTCCAGCTTTGGTAATGTGTTTGCCTTACACTGATCCATCTTTAAACATGTAACCTTCACCTTCCACTTGCCTGGATGTAACGGATCACTCACTAAAGCAAAGCTTTGCTGGAAAATCCCCACACATTCACTGGAATTGTGTAACGTTCCACACACTAATATCACCTTTGGCCCATGACTTGTGGACCTCAAGGCCACTCCTTGACTACTGACATTTGGGTTAAAGAGTATGTGACTATATTTTGTCAGTGACAGTAAACGTTCAGCAACTTTGTCACCACCTAAAATATTTTCTTCCTTATTCTCCGCTGAGGGAATCATAAGGAGGTACAAATGTGCATTATCCCAGAAATGTTGAGGGCCAAACTGCTCACCAGGTTTATTTATAGCAGGATGGTACGAATTCAACATTTCATAGAACCACTTGACAAAAGCCTCAGCATCGCTCTGGTCTGAACTGACCGCCACTGGTAAGCCAGACAAATTAACTGTTTGGTTGTAGGTTTCGTTGACAGCACTAAAACTCACAAAGTTCTGGACAATGGTCACTTGCTGACTGGGCGCGACTACCTGGTGATAGTTGGATGGGGGATGGTTATAATTGTGGTGATTGTGCACAGGTGCTGGAGTAACTTCTTGTGGGGATGATGGTGCATAAGGTTCTTCATTGGGCGTCCGTGTCTAAAAAAAAAAAAATGGTAACAACTGTTACAGCATTTTATGGCAGAGAACAAACTAGAAAACATGGAAACAACTGTTACAGCATTGTATGGCAGAGAACAAACTAGAAAACATGGAAACAACTGTTACAGCATTGTATGGCAGAGAACAAACTAGAAAACATGGAAACAACTGTTACAGCATTGTATGGCAGAGAACAAAGTAGAAAACATGGAAACAACTGTTACAGCATTGTATGGCAGAGAACAAACTAGAAAACATGGAAACAACTGTTACAGCATTGTATGGCAGAGAACAAACTAGAAAACATGGAAACAACTGTTACAGCATTGTATGGCAGAGAACAAACTAGAAAACATGGAAACAACTGTTACAGCATTGTATGGCAGAGAACAAACTAGAAAACATGGAAACAACTGTTACAGCATTGTATGGCAGAGAACAAAGTAGAAAACATGGAAACAACTGTTACAGCATTGTATGGCAGAGAACAAACTAGAAAACATGGAAACAACTGTTACAGCATTGTATGGCAGAGAACAAAGTAGAAAACATGGAAACAACTGTTACAGCATTGTATGGCAGAGAACAAACTAGAAAACATGGAAACAACTGTTACAGCATTGTATGGCAGAGAACAAACTAGAAAACGAAATTATGGTCTTAATCTGGTCTTTTAACTCTTTCAGTTCGAAACAACGCACCATGTTTTATTGGATTTATTAACATGCACCAGTTAACAGATTATTATGCTGGTATATTTTTTGTCAAGTCAGGGAATGCTAAAACACTTCACAATGAATTTGTCTCCCATAAGGGATGTGTATTTGGGCCCTGTGGATGTAGTATACCATTATTTTGGTGAGTTCACAGTTGACTCACTGGGACATCAACTATGCCATTCTAGGATGGAAAGAGTTAACTGTTTGTCCAATGAGAAATATGCTAGGCAAAATTGTGTTCCAAGTTAAACTGTTTAATCAGCAATACAACCGAAATGATTAATGTTACCTTCTCTTTAGTATCAACAAGGCAGACCAAGCGAGGGATCGTGGTGCATGGTCAACACAGTCCCTACAACAGTCTCTACAATAATGCCCAGGATTTGTGCTGTGGAGAAGAGAAACTTCATCCATGGCCTCAAGACTTGTTTTACACAAGCCGATCTTGCTATCCTGCAGGACACTGCCGCGGACTGTGATTTCCAAACCTCCCGACTGTCACCTCGACAGAAGGTACCAACAACACTAGACTTCCCAGGGTTCACCATTAAACTATCTTCTGCAATGCCCTTTTAAATCTGTGATGCTGGAACCAAATATGTCACCAATGAAAGTTCAGTTTCCCAGTAGGGGTTTCAGCGGTCGATTGGGGGGGAATAACCAGACTCAGTGTCTCATCAACAAGCATGTCCTAAAAGGTGACAAATTAAGGGTTGGCTGAAATCAGATGTATCAAGCTGAAAAGCACAGATATCACAGCCTAGCTGTAAAGCACAACACAGCACCCCAACTGCTCTTTTAAGGACGAACGCAGAAGAAGAATGTCAAGTTTTCTCCCAGCTCAACAAGATGTGCTCAACAGGTTGTATTTGATTAGCTCAGAGGAATTCAGCTGCACACACCAAAGCCCTGAGTCAGGACAGTGATTCTGATCTTCCCACTCCCAAACAGAACCCCAGTGTTATCTTCACACTCCTAAACAGAACCCCAGTGTTATCTATACAGAAGCAGCTCCCTGTTTACTAGCCATGGGTTAATGCCACAATTTACCAATCCTTCCATAAGCAGAGGATGAAAGTTGTTGGTTTATAAAGCAAGACTACACTTGATAATGTTGAAAAACATACAGAAAAACAAACTTGGAAGACAAACAGAAGAAATAGGGAGAGAAGAAAGCAGGAAGACACATGCAGTAGAACAGATAGAAAAACCATCTATTGAAAGACTTACTCAACGGGAGTGGGAGGGAGGATTGTTGGCTACTGAGGAAAGGGATAAAGCATGTGTGGGAGTGCCCCAAGTGCAGCAATATAAATGTCTGATTCATTTATGCATTCAAGAAATGATAAAGAAATATAAACACAACAAACCAGGAAGGTAGCAGGATAGTCTGCCTTTTAGAACATGTTACCAGATATTTTGATGTACTTCAAATATTGTCTGTTCAGATCTTTCCAATCTGTGTCTCGCGACACAACAGCATGTCGAAAGTGTGTCGTACAAATATAATTTGTGCCCGTGTCTATATGTGTCTATATTAATGGGTTGGTTTAGCCTCTGATTTGCTAGTAGCCTGGATTACTGTGTCTTGAAACTTTGTTTGTTTAAAACATTTGTGATCCTAATGACAGCATTAACCATCTAACAAGAAGGGACCAGGCCACCATCTTCAGACTTAGAACGCAACATACTCCACTCAATGGACACCTAAACAGAATACAGCCACAACACTCCCCAGAGTGCCAGCTATGTAACTACCCCTACGAAACTGTTGAACACCATCTCTTTGAGTGCCCAAAACTCAGTGAGACAAGAAGAACGCTACTCCCTCCGAGACGAGACAAGTCGAACACCTTGTAGGGAGGAAAAGAACAGCTTGTGAAAACATGCAAATTCCACTACATGGCATTGGGCCAAAGGGCGAAAGCTCAGGCGCCGCTGGATAGATAACAACAACAACAAAACATTTGTGATAAACACAAAAAGTTCTAGTCTAAAGTATTTTTTCCTTCCTCGTTTTTCTCTTTATGTCTGAAATTGAAACAAGCATCACTTGTGCTTCTTTGTTTAACCAGACTGCTCAGATTGTATCCTCTTCTAAATATCTGTCTCTGTCTTCACTAAAGTGTCCTAAAGAATACACTGACAGTTTTTACATGCCAAACATCATAAACAGTTGACACATTTCTACATAATGTGACAGGAAACCATACCCAGTATTTAATAATGGTATGAACTAAATCTGCCTTGCTGTCGTAGGCAGACACAGGAACCGATGCACTCCAACAGTATTTCAGCAGAATACCCTTGTTGACTTTTCTACGATTCAGCAGCTCTTCGGCCGATTCAGTGAACGACAGAATGGCATGTTCAGCTTCTGGAATTCACACATAAAAATACATTTGGAAGTGTCATCACAAAGAACCAGATACAACTGGCCAGCCTTGCTTTGCAGTGACTATTTTACACATCATATAAGAAGACTTCAAAAAATGACCTTGACTCTCAGGTCAACCCAGCCGTGAATGGGTACCAAGTGCAGTCCTGGGAAGTCAAGGCAGCCAGCGTGATGCTGACCACATCATCCACCAAGTGCCGATTGGTCTTTAAAATAGGTCTAGTCCTATATTCTCAACATGCCTAAAATCATGAACAAGGGACCTTTACTGCCAATACCCACCTCTCTGAGCATAAATACGAGAGAAAGTCATTAGGTAAAGGCAATCGCATTAATAAGTTCTTTTTTTAACAAGCGGCCAGAACAAAATTGTTCTGTGTCCTATTTTTCAACAGTCTCCCTGCCTTGCGGCACATGAAGTCCACCGTTCCACAAGATTGTGGATGCCCGCCAGGCAGAAGCTTTTGTATGGACAGTAACCAAATTTGCATCACCGACATCATCTCACTGTCATCTGCAAATCTCTCAAATTTCAGTCTGTAGTGTATCCCCTATATGCACAACTGTGAGGGGACGGACAGGTGTTGACAGGCAGCAACAAAACTTTTGGGAGAAGACCCTAATGTTTCGATTGGATCACGGGCTTCAACTCATTCATACACTTTCTTTTGTCACAAGCATCTGTCTCCATATTGAATGTTCATTCTTTGATAAATTTCAAGTGATTTAACACTATCTGCCCACACAAAAAAAATTAACAATGCAAAAGGCCATTCTGCGTCTTGAAAAGTTTTTTCCACATACTATTCCAAAAAGATTAAGATACAACTGTCTTTCCCCTGCATTACAGGTATCAGGACATCTGAGCTTCAATTTTTTGGCATCACAGTACAATGTTTACATGGTCAACTGTTCATACAACTGTTTATATGGGCAATTGTTAATACAACAAACTGTTTACATGACCAATTGTTTACACAACTACCTGTTTACACATTATCATAATGTGTCCTGACAACAAGCACAGGCACTCTTGTTTCACCATCTCACATGACCACCAGAATCAGGCACCAGATGAGTGATGAAATCAGTACCACATCACATGAAATTACTTCCCCAAACATTTCCGGCCACAAATAATTAGATGGTGCTAACCTCAGAAAGAACACGAGAGAAGACTAACCACCTGTGAAATGAGATGTTTGAGAATGGCTGCGAATAAAACCAGAAGAGATTGAGTGAGAAACAATGTGATTACAAGAACTATTGGAACCATACCCATCGTTAAATTTATTGAGAAGCAAAGAATGAAATGGTTTGGTCACCTAATGAGAATGGAACCAACGATGCCAGCATCAAGAGCATACAACATGAAAATCGAAACACCAAGAGGCAGGGGAAGACCAAGAAGAAGATGGATTGAAGGAGTCACGGACAACTTGAGACTTCATAACATCACGGCATATGAAGCTACTGAGTGCGCCCTGGCTCGGTTGCCGATCATCTGATAGTCTGCGATGCCTAGCGGCACAAGCAGATTTTGACAAAAGAAGAAGCTAACCTCAGACTCCAGTACAGTTTAAGCACCCGTCACAACAGAGATTTGAACACCTGACCAGTGAGTGGGTCAGCAGGTAATCATGATAGCCACTTTCATTTGTATGTGTGTATGTGATATGTCTTTGTGTATGTGTTGTCTGTGTGTGTGTGTGTATATATGAGCCATTGTGTGTGCAAGTGTATGTGTGCTTGTGTCTGCCTCATGTGTCTATTTTTGCATGTGTTTGAAGGTAGGCATTTGCCATTTTGTATTTTTGTCTTAACAATCATATTATATATTTTGATATATACACATAATAAGCCTGACATTTAAAATACAACTGCCGAAAGAAAGATGAGTGCTTGAAACAACCAAAGGTAAGCTGGGCCTGTGTGCCAAGTTTGTAAACCTTTTAAAATTAAGTTTGTTTGCCTCATTTATTACTTATGCACCAAGGCTGCTGTCTGATGATCATATAACTGCTGTCTGATGATCACATAAATGCTGTCTGATGATCATGTAACTGCTGTCTGATGATCATGTAACTGCTGTCTGATGATCATGCAACTGCTGTCTGATGATCATGCAACTGCTGTCTGATGATCATGCAACTGCTGTCTGATGATCATACAACTGCTGTCTGATGATCATATAACTGCTGTCTGATGATCATATAACTGCTGTCTGATGATCATACAACTGCTGTCTGATGATCATATAACTGCTGTCTGATGATCATATAACTGCTGTCTGATGATCATTTAGCTGCTGTCTGATGATGATATAACTGCTGTCTGATGATGATATAACTGCTGTCATGATGATGATATAACTGCTGTCATGATGAAATAACTGCTGTCTGATGATCATTTAACTGCTGTCTGATGATGATATAACAGCTGTCTGATGATGATATAACTGCTGTCTGATGGTCATATAACAGCTGTCTGATGATGATATAACTGCTGTCTGATGATCACATAACTGCTAATGACCATATAACAGCTGTCTGATGATGATATAACTGCTGTCTGATGATGATATAACAGCTGTCTGATGATGATGATATAACAGCTGTCTGATGATGATGATATAACTGCTGTCTGATGATGATGATATAACTGCTGTATGATGATGATGATGATATAACAGCTGTCTGATGATGATGATATAACAGCTGTCTGATGATGATGATATAACAGCTGTCTGATGATGATGATATATCAGCTGTCTGATGATGATGATATAACAGCTGTCTGATGATGATGATATAACTGCTGTCTGATGATGATAATATAACAGCTGTCTGATGATGATATAACAGCTGTCTGATGATGATATAACTGCTGTCTGATGATCATATAACAGCTGTCTGATGATGATATAACTGCTGTTTGATGATCATATAACTGCTGTCTGATGATCATATAACAGCTGTCTGATGATCGTATAACAGCTGTCTGATGATCGTATAACAACTGTCTGATGATCATATAACAGCTGTCTGATGATCATATAACAGCTGTCTAATGATCATATAACTGCTGTCTGATGATCATATAACAGCTGTCTGATGATCATATAACAGCTGTCTAATGATCATATAACTGCTGTCTAATGATCATATAACTGCTGTCTGATGATCATATAACGGCTGTCTAATGATCATATAACAGCTGTCTGATGATCGTATAACTGCTGTTTAATGATCGTATAATGGCTGTCTAATGATCGTATAACTGCTGTCTAATGATCGTATAACTGCTGTTTAATGATCATATAACAGCTGTCTGATGATCGTATAACTGCTGTTTAATGATCGTATAACTGCTGTCTAATGATCATATAACTGCTGTCTAATGATCATATAACTGCTGTCTAATGATCATATAACAGCTGTCTGATGATCATATAACGGCTGTCTAATGATCATATAACTGCTGTCTAATGATCATATAACAGCTGTCTAATGATCGTATAACTGCTGTTTAATGATCGTATAACTGCTGTTTAATGATCATATAACAGCTGTCTGATGATTGTATAACTGCTGTTTATTGATCGTATAACTGCTGTCTAATGATCGTATAACAGCTGTCTAATGATCGTATAACTGCTGTCTAATGATCGTATAACTGCTGTTTAATGATCATATAACAGCTGTCTAATGATCGTATAACTGCTGTCTAATGATCGTATAACTGCTGTTTAATGATCATATAACAGCTGTCTGATGATTGTATAACTGCTGTTTATTGATCGCATAACTGCTGTCTAATGATCGTATAACAGCTGTCTAATGATCATATAACAGCTGTCTAATGATCGTATAACTGCTGTTTAATGATCGTATAACTGCTGTCTAATGATCGTATAACTGCTGTTTAATGATCGTATAACTGCTGTTTAATGATCATATAACAGCTGTCTGATGATTGTATAACTGCTGTTTATTGATCGTATAACTGCTGTCTAATGATCGTATAACAGCTGTCTAATGATCGTATAACTGCTGTCTAATGATCGTATAACTGCTGTTTAATGATCATATAACAGCTGTCTAATGATCGTATAACTGCTGTCTAATGATCGTATAACTGCTGTTTAATGATCATATAACAGCTGTCTGATGATTGTATAACTGCTGTTTATTGATCGTATAACTGCTGTCTAATGATTGTATAACAGCTGTCTAATGATCATATAACAGCTGTCTAATGATCGTATAACTGCTGTTTAATGATCGTATAACTGCTGTCTAATGATCGTATAACTGCTGTTTAATGATCGTATAACTGCTGTCTAATGATCGTATAACTGCTGTCTAATGATCGTATAACTGCTGTTTAATGATCGTATAACTGCTGTCTAATGATCGTATAACTGCTGTCTAATGATCATTGCAACTGCTGTCTGATGATCATGCAACTGCTGTCTGATGATCATGCAACTGCTGTCTGATGATCATACAACTGCTGTCTGATGATCATATAACTGCTGTCTGATGATCATATAACTGCTGTCTGATGATCATACAACTGCTGTCTGATGATCATATAACTGCTGTCTGATGATCATATAACTGCTGTCTGATGATCATTTAGCTGCTGTCTGATGATGATATGCTGTCTGATGATGATATAACTGCTGTCATGATGATGATATAACTGCTGTCATGATGAAATAACTGCTGTCTGATGATCATTTAACTGCTGTCTGATGATGATATAACAGCTGTGATGATGATATAACAGCTGTCTGATGATGATATAACTGCTGTCTGATGGTCATATAACAGCTGTCTGATGATGATATAACTGCTGTCTGATGATCACATAACTGCTAATGACCATATAACAGCTGTCTGATGATGATATAACTGCTGTCTGATGATGATATAACAGCTGTCTGATGATGATGATATAACTGCTGTCTGATGATGATGATATAACTGCTGTCTGATGATGATGATGATATAACAGCTGTCTGATGATGATGATATAACAGCTGTCTGATGATGATGATATAACAGCTGTCTGATGATGATGATATAACAGCTGTCTGATGATGATGATATATCAGCTGTCTGATGATGATGATATAACAGCTGTCTGATGATGATGATATAACTGCTGTCTGATGATGATAATATAACTGCTGTCTGATGATGATATAACAGCTGTCTGATGATGATATAACAGCTGTCTGATGATCATATAACTGCTGTCTGATGATCATATAACAGCTGTCTGATGATGATATAACTGCTGTTTGATGATCATATAACTGCTGTCTGATGATCATATAACAGCTGTCTGATGATCGTATAACAGCTGTCTGATGATCGTATAACAACTGTCTGATGATCATATAACAGCTGTCTGATGATCATATAACAGCTGTCTAATGATCATATAACTGCTGTCTGATGATCATATAACAGCTGTCTGATGATCATATAACAGCTGTCTAATGATCATATAACTGCTGTCTAATGATCATATAACTGCTGTCTGATGATCATATAACGGCTGTCTAATGATCATATAACAGCTGTCTGATGATCGTATAACTGCTGTTTAATGATCGTATAATGGCTGTCTAATGATCGTATAACTGCTGTCTAATGATCGTATAACTGCTGTTTAATGATCATATAACAGCTGTCTGATGATCGTATAACTGCTGTTTAATGATCGTATAACTGCTGTCTAATGATCATATAACTGCTGTCTAATGATCATATAACTGCTGTCTAATGATCATATAACAGCTGTCTGATGATCATATAACGGCTGTCTAATGATCATATAACTGCTGTCTAATGATCATATAACAGCTGTCTAATGATCGTATAACTGCTGTTTAATGATCGTATAACTGCTGTTTAATGATCATATAACAGCTGTCTGATGATTGTATAAACTGCTGTTTATTGATCATATATAACTGCTGTCTAATGATCGTATAACAGCTGCTGCTGTCTAATGATCGTATAACTGCTGTCTAATGATCGTATAACTGCTGTTTAATGATCATATAACAGCTGTCTAATGATCGTATAACTGCTGTCTAATGATCGTATAACTGCTGTTTAATGATCATATAACAGCTGTCTGATGATTGTATAACTGCTGTTTATTGATCGTATAACTGCTGTCTAATGATCGTATAACAGCTGTCTAATGATCATATAACAGCTGTCTAATGATCGTATAACTGCTGTTTAATGATCGTATAACTGCTGTCTAATGATCATATAACTGCTGTTTAATGATCGTATAACTGCTGTCTAATGATCGTATAACTGCTGTCTAATGATCGTATAACTGCTGTTTAATGATCGTATAACTGCTGTCTAATGATCGTATAACTGCTGTCTAATGATCGTATAACTGCTGTTTAATGATCGTATAACTGCTGTCTAATGATCGTATAACTGCTGTCTAATGATCGTATAACTGCTGTTTAATGATCGTATAACTGCTGTTTAATGATCATATAACAGCTGTCTGATTCTTTACTAATAAGTAAGGAAGAAGTTGAAGAACAACAATGTGTACAGCTACAGATCAACAACAATGTGTACAGCTACAGATCAACAACAATGTGTACAGCTACAGATCAACAACAATGTGTACAGCCACAGATCAACAACAATGTGTACAGCCACAGATCAACAACAATGTGTACAGCCACAGATCAACAACAATGTGTACAGCTACAGATCAACAACAATGTGTACAGCTACAGATCAACAACAATGTGTACAGCTACAGATCAACAACAATGTGTACAGTTACAGATCAACAACAATGTGTACAGTTACAGATCAACAACAATGTGTACAGCCACAGATCAACAACAATGTGTACAGTTACAGATCAACAACAATGTGTACAGCCACAGATCAACAACAATGTGTACAGCCACAGATCAACAACAATGTGTACAGCCACAGATCAACAACAATGTGTACAGCCACAGATCAACAACAATGTGTACAGCCACAGATCAACAATAATGTGTACAGCCACAGATCAACAACAATGTGTACAGCTACAGATCAACAATAATGTGTACAGCTACAGATCAACAATAATGTGTACAGCTACAGATCAACAATAATGTGTACAGCCACAGATCAACAATAACGTGTACAGCTACAGATCAACAACAACGTGTACAGCTACAGATCAACAACAACGTGTACAGCTACAGATCAACAACAACGTGTACAGCTACAGATCAACAACAACGTGTACAGCTACAGATCAACAACAACGTGTACAGCTACAGATCAACAACAACGTGTACAGCTACATATCAACAACAATGTGTACAGCTACAGATCAACAACAATGTGTACAGCTACAGATCAACAATAATGTGTACAGTTACAGATCAACAATAATGTGTACAGCCACAGATCATTAACAATGTGTACAGCCACAGATCAACAACAATGTGTACAGCCACAGATCAACAACAATGTGTACAGCCACAGATCAACAATAATGTGTACAGCCACAGATCAACAACAATGTGTACAGCCACAGATCAACAACAATGTGTACAGCTACAGATCAACAATAATGTGTACAGCTACAGATCAACAATAATGTGTACAGCTACAGATCAACAATAATGTGTACAGCCACAGATCAACAATAACGTGTACAGCTACAGATCAACAACAACGTGTACAGCTACAGATCAACAACAACGTGTACAGCTACAGATCAACAACAACGTGTACAGCTACAGATCAACAACAACGTGTACAGCTACAGATCAACAACAACGTGTACAGCTACAGATCAACAACAACGTGTACAGCTACAGATCAACAACAACGTGTACAGCTACAGATCAACAACAACGTGTACAGCTACATATCAACAACAATGTGTACAGCTACAGATCAACAACAATGTGTACAGCTACAGATCAACAATAATGTGTACAGTTACAGATCAACAATAATGTGTACAGCCACAGATCATTAACAATGTGTACAGCTACAGATCAACAATAATGTGTACCGCTACAGATCAACAATAATGTGTACAGCCACAGATCAACAATAATGTGTACAGCCACAGATCAACAACAATGTGTACAGCTACAGATCAACAATAATGTGTACAGCTACAGATCAACAACAATGTGTACAGCTACAGATCAACAACAATGTGTACAGCCACAGATCAACAACAATGTGTACAGCCACAGATCAACAACAATGTGTACAGTTACAGATCAACAACAATGTGTACAGCTACAGATCAACAATAATGTGTACAGCCACAGATCAACAACAATGTGTACAGCTACAGATCAACAACAATGTGTACAGCCACAGATCAACAATAATGTGTACAGCCACAGATCAACAACAATGTGTACAGCTACAGATCAACAATAATGTGTACACCTACAGATCAACAACAATGTGTACAGCTACAGATCAACAACAATGTGTACAGCCACAGATCAACAACAATGTGTACAGTTACAGATCAACAACAATGTGTACAGCTACAGATCAACAACAATGTGTACAGCCACAGATCAACAATAATGTGTACAGCTACAGATCAACAACAATGTGTACACCTACAGATCAACAACAATGTGTACAGCTACAGATCAACAATAATGTGTACACCTACAGATCAACAACAATGTGTACAGCTACAGATCAACAACAATGTGTACAGCCACAGATCAACAACAATGTGTACAGCTACAGATCAACAATAATGTGTACAGCTACAGATCAACAACGTGTACAGCTACAGATCAACAATAATGTGTACAGCTACAGATCAACAATAATGTGTACAGCTACAGATCAACAATAATGATGCAGATAAACAAATATATGACACAAGTGACTCAAACCTGCTCTGTCTTTAACTTTGATGGCATGGCTGGTTGATGTTCCAACCAGAGCAAAGACATCCTCATCCAGAAGGAAGCTCAGAATTCGTTTACATTCTGACTTTTCTTTCTGAGACAACATAATGACAGCTTTGCCACAGCTGATATCTGAAATAGAAGTAAGAAGTGTTGTTGTTTTCTCATGCAAATTAGTTGCAGATAGCTGGAACTGGACATTCAATGCACTGAGTAAATGAAGAAAAACAGGAGAACAACAACTATATGTGTTCATCCAGTATAAGATAGTATAACAAGATATCTTCTCCAATGAGGATGATCAAGCATTTTAACTAACGTTAATAATTGTGATAGAATCTCTTGGGTAACCTCTAGGAGTCTTGTGGAGTTCACTCATTCTTTCACTGAGGCCTGTCATCTTTTGAAGGTGAACAGCTTAAAATCTTGTTTGATGGTGAATGTTAATGTTTCTGCTGTCCAGACCTGAACACCAGTGACTGTCCACATTTTTGCTGTCTAGTCCTGTACACCAGTGACTGTCAACATTTTTGCTGTCTAGTCCTGTACACCAGTGATTGTCCACATTTTTTGCTGTCTAGTCCTGTACACCTGTGACTAAATTTTTTTTTGCTGTCTAGTCCTGTAGGCCAGTGACTGTCAACATTTTTGCTGTCTAGTCCTGTAGGCCAGTGACTGTCCACATTTCTGCTGTCTAGTCCTGTACACCAGTGACTGTCCACATTTTTTGCTGTCTAGTCCTGTACACCTGTGACTAAAATTGTTTTGCTGTCTAGTCCTGTACGCCAGTGACTGTCAACATTTTTGCTGTCTAGTCCTGTAGCCCACTAGTCTTAAATACCAGTGCAGTGGTTATAATTTTTTTTCTGGTGATGCAAGACACCCCCCCACACAAAAAAAACAACACATATTATTAAAAGGACCTCACTGCAGAGAAGGAAATCATTCACTGGGAAGACAGCATTTGGATGGAAGAATTGAAGGCAGCTATTGAGAAGATTGAGCTGGGGAAAGCAGCAGGGCATGATGGTATAACACCAGAGATGGTCAAATACATGGGAGACGCCGGTGAGCGCCTTATCTCAAAGGTTCTCTGGCAGCCTGGTGTAGCAAAACTATACCAAAAGATTGGGAGATTGCCATCATTATACCTTTTTTTTTAAAAAAAGGTGATAAAAGAAAATGTAAAAACCACAGAGGCTTATATCTCCTTAGCATCCCTGGTAAAAGTTACTCGAGAATTCTCGAGCAGAGACTGAGAACTCTAGCAAAACCACAACTGGATCAGGCCCAATGTGTCTTCAGAGCAATTGAAGTGCTCAAGACCTTATCTTCGCACTCAGACAGATGAGTGAAAAAGCCCTTGAATATGTATTTTACTTGTTAAAGGGAAAACAAGAATAGGGCTATCCTCCGAATAACGGTCCTAAATTACCGAGGCGGAAAATATACCCTAACTGGGCCTCAGTCACGTGTCAATTGCGCACTTTCGGGGACTATAATGACATCGCCGAATTGAGAACTTCCGGCGCCACCGAGAGTATCCCCCACGCCGCATGAGCAGCGTGGATTGGAGCTAAACTAGATGGATAAGACTCATAAGCAAATAAAATGAAGGAAGCTGCAGGAGATGCGATAGCTGCTGCTCGTGAGTCCCAGCCATCTAGTTTAGCCACAATCCACGCCGCTTGAGCAGCATGGGGATACTCTCAGTGGTGGCGGAAGTCGCCAGAAGTGCGCAATTTAAGACGACGGAAGTGCACAATTGACACGTGACTGAGGCCCTGTTAGGGTATATTTTTCACCTCGATAATTTAGGACCCTTATTCGGAGGATAGCCCAAGAATTGACCCACTGCCTACCCAAAAGCATGTCGTAAGAGTCAACTAATTGGGAGCTTCCTTCAAAGCCGGAGTGCATGTGCCTGAGAGGCAAGGAACCTGCAGTCTGCATACAAATGAGTCAGATCTGTAAAACGGATGCACACGCAACACTCAGGTTCTGGAACAGGACTGCAGTCCAGAAGTGGACGAACAACTAGAACTTTTCGCCAGAGTTTACAGCTGGTGAACGCGAAGAAGAAGAAGAATTAAGATATGTGTATTTATTTTAATATAACTAAATAATATAATCATCGATTTCATTTTTCAAAGGGCCCGGCAAACTAAACGGCTCTACTGGCAAATCCGGACGAAGACTAAACAGCCTTGGACGACTTAGTCAGAGTTATCTCCCGTGTGCGCACTCCAAACAGTGATCGGAAAACAAACGACACACTTAGCTATCATCCTGCGGTTGCGTGTAGGGCTGCGTACGGTTGCGTGAGGCATCGTGGCATCATCATATGGTTGCATGCAGGGTTGCGTACGGTTGCGTGAGGCATTGTGAATGGTTGTGTAGTCATCATCATGCGGTTGTTGGATTAGAGTTAGGGGTAGGGTTAGGGTTAGGGGTAGGGTTAGGTGTAGGGTTAGGGGTAGGGTTAGGGGTAGGGTTAGATGTGACAATTTTGACGTAGGATTTCGAAATACTGGCCGACAATCTGATGTTTGTGGGAGTGGCGCCACTGAAACTCTGCCAAATATGACGCCAATAGCGTGCGGCTGGTGCCCCCAATCGCTGGCGACTTGTGCGTTTGACCAGCATCCAGAGGCCCTCGATTGTTTGTGTGTGTGTATGGGACTGTGCGCGATTATAGGGAACTCCGGCGTCAAAATTGTCAAATCTAACGCTAAACCTAACACTACCGCTAACCCTAATCCTACTCCCTAACCCCTACCCACGCAAATTTATCGATCATTAAAGCATACAATTCGGCAAACACCAACAAACAAAACACACCCAAAAAAACACCCAGAATTGTCCTGCAGCGTCGAAAAAAAACCCACATCTGGGGGAAACAACCAAGCATTGGCAGCCCTGATGTCGACGTGACTGTCGTCTTTGTTTCGTTATGGCTTTTCCGATCACTGTTTGGAGTGCGCACACGGGAGATAACTCTGACTAAGTCGTCCAAGGCTGTTTATTCTTCGTCCGGATTTACCAGTAGAGCCAACTAAACTTCATCCTAGAGGTTTAACCACTATACTATACTGGCTTCCTTCCTTAAAATTAAAACGTTCAAGTAGCAGGGTACTATGCGGTTGTAGCCTTAGTTATTAAGAGAGATAATCAGTACTTGGTGTGTGATGTCTACTACTGCTAACTACTATGAATACTAATAATATATAATCAGTAATAGTAATTAATACATCATGTAGATACTGTCTCTGTCCAGTAAAATAGACAATTGACAATAGAGCGCCCTAGCTGAGGAGAAGAGAACACATTGTTTACCGATTTCATGTGGTACATTTATTTAATCCGATATCTACATAAACACTACACATGTCTAACTTTAAGTTAACTGTGTTGTTTGATTCAGCTAATAATATACTTACAGAAAACAACATTACAAGCTGGACAAGAAGAGAGAAGTCAATCTCCTGTCTCCCTTTTTCAGTTTCGCTTTCTCAAATGTTTACTTGTGAGTCTGTGACGTCACTTCCTTTTCCGTGCCGTCCAAGAGGCCATCAACATCATCATCATCGTAAACCACTTCTGTCGTTAAGAGGCGTGGGGAGGAATAATTTGCCATCCAGTGCATATTGGCTGCCACTGGCTATTGTCATGACGTGAAGGCGTAGAGTGTCTTTAATGTTGTCGATCTATTTCCCGCGGCCGTCCTCTTGTAGCTGATCTTCTGAGATATATTGCTTGTGATTGTATTTGATCTTGCTGCATTCTAACGAGATGGCCAAACCACTTGATCTGCTGTTTCTCGATGAATCTAGTACAAGGTGTCGTTCCCACAGTTTGCCTGATAGTTTCATTATTAGCGCGATTTCGGATGGTTAGGTTGGCTACTTTTCTCAGGCACCTCATCTCGCAGGTGGTGATTTTACTTATATAGGATGTCCATGTTTGGCACTGGTAGCTTAATGTTGGAATAAATTTGCTGTTAATAATCTGTCTCTTTGCACTCATAGTTATGATTGGATGTCTTAATAATAGTGACAATTGGTATATAAGTGCGCTTGCTTTCTAACATCTGGTTTCTATTTCTCTGTCAGTTCTACCCTCTTCTGTGATTATACTTCCTAGATATTTAAACTCCCTAACTTGATTCAGAGCAGAACCATTCAGCTGTGTGTGTAGTGGGGCAGGGGTTCTACTAACGCATTGGTTCGGTTTTGTTTACATTGATCTTCATGTTGTATTTACTGCATGCTGAGTTTAACCTGTTAATGTGGTCTTGAAGTCTATCTTCTTCAGGGTAGAACAAGCACTGGTCGTCAGCAAATAGTAGTTCGTTTAATGTGGGATAATTGATAACTTCTCCTGATGTGTGTACTTCCTCATGATTATAAAGATCTATGTTGTCTGTATCGTAACTTGCTTCTTTAGATATTCTGTCCGCATAGATGTTAAATAAAAGTGGGGATAGCAACATCCCTGTCTCACATCTGTGGTGACTGTGAACATATCTGATATGCCTTCACGTGTTCTTAATTGCACGTTGGCTTTTGTGGTACATGGCTATGATGTTCTCTAGTAACTGTCCTTGTATCCCTTAGTTATTAAGAACAGACCACAGTTTGTTTCTCTCCACTCTATCAAAAGCCTTTTCCTAATCTACAAACACAATATTCTGTTTGGTATTATACTCAATGGCTTTCTCACACACTTGCCTCAGAGTGAATAATGCATCTATGCATCCTCTGCCTTTTCTGAAACCGAATTGTGATGCACTCAACTTTCAGCTATGGGCCTAACTCTCTGTTCTAGTAATTTGGCGTACATTTTTCCTACCTGACTCGGCAGTGATATACCTCTGTATGCTTCACTTTCTATTACCTTTCCGTTTCCATAACTGTACTGTTAGTGGCTGTTGTCACTTTGATGGCACTTTTGTTTGTCCCCAAGCTCTATTAATATATGTATATATATATATATATATATATATATATATATATATATATATATATATATATATATATATATATATCAACAGGAGCATGAATAGGCGCACTGCCCCTCACAAGCGTGTCCTCGAGCGCAACTAAT